TGCTCCTCTGTGCCTCCCTGCATGCATCTGAATTCTCTGATAGTTGAAAGAGTCCCAAAGCCTACAGGCTGCTGCCTGTGGTTCATAGCCAGCTGAGCTCATCCTGAAGTCCTGGGTACAGTGCAACCAGCAGCCATTCTCCAGGCAGTGCAGCCCCTGGATATGGGCTGGCAGAGCTTTGTGGTGGCATGGGAAAAAGCAGACAAAAGGAGACTTAGAGACTTCCTTTCCCCCCTTGCCTGAATATTTAGGTTTCCATTGCTGGGTAGTGTTATTAATTAAAACACTTTCTTAAAGCTTATGACATTTGTAATGGGAAATTTTTTATTGTCTCACTTCTTAAATCAAAAAGGGAAATTGCTGAAGGGATGAATTTGTATTCCTCTGCAAACTGACGTAGGACAGTATGTAAACTACTTGGAAGCTTAGATAAACTTGATTTTACTTTTGTCACAAAGCACTGTTCTCCTGTAACTTTGCTTGGCCATGTTTCCTCATTCATGTTGCCCATCATCCTTCACTAGGGTAAATAAAATTTTCTGTAATTCTCCTATGTTTCTCCTCCCCTACCTGTGGCATCCCTTGAGATACAAGTGAAGCCTGGCAGTCACCACAAGCTGCTTTTTGGAGGCAACCACAGATGCAACCTCTTCCATCAAAGGGAGAGTGAATGTAAGACCACCATGGACATGCCCTGGGGTACTTCCTTGCTGTACCTTTAGACTGTTGTCTTCCTCCCAGCTCCTGACATGTATTATAGAGCATGGAAAGCAATGCTGCTGCCTGTCATCCCTAGGTCTGTCCCTGAAAGACAGGCACTCCTGGTTCAGACTGCTGGTGGCCTCACAGAATCTGTGGAGCAGGGACAGGTTGGGACTGCCTTCCTCAGTATCCTGAGGTGTCTGGACAAAATATTTGATTATCTGAGATACTGGAACAGGTTGCCCAGCGAGGCTGTGGATGCCCCCTCCCTGGAAGCATTCAGGGCCAGGCTGGATGGGGCTTTGAGCAACTTGGTCTAGAGGGAGGTGTCCCTGCCTATAGTAGGAGGTTGGAAATAGATGATCTTCATGGTCTATTTCAACCCAAGCTATTCTATGATTCTGTGTTTCTTTCTAGAGTTTCTGTTCCAGTCTCTTCCCTTCCCCCCATGGTGTCCAGTAAAGTGCTAATGAATTCCTCATCCTCTCAAGATTAGTATAAACAAACAGAATTTTCTTGCAGTAATGAGTGGTTGTGATGAAGGATGATGGAAGGGTGAGCAGGATCCTTGGAGAACAGCATCCTGGTGCTGCAGTAGTGAGCAGACTGGGAAGCCAGTAGGTGGCACAGCGAGGGGTGGCTGGCCTGCTGCTAATTGTCGTGTGGTAATGCAGGCGTTTAGGAATAAGCTTTATGCTCCATGGTAGATTTCTGTGCATGTGGTTTGTAATCTCCCAGCCCAAGGCTTTTTGATAAAAGCAGCCTCGCGTTGAGAAATTCCTCGGTGTTGTGCTGGTGTGGCCATTGAATTTTGGAAAGGAAACAAGTGGAAAAGGAGAGGAAATCCACTCCAAGCCTGATTTAACCATGTGACTCCTACAAAAGTATAGCTTACTGCAAAAATTGCTGGTAATCAGACATGCTGTCACAAACAGACAGTGAGTGTAGAAGTATAAAACACTCGCACCAGCCCCAGCACAGGCCCAGACAAAGAATATTTCAATGAGAGTTTGTATCTGCACATAATGGCTTAAAGTGTAATTGATGCCAGCTGCATAAAATCACTAGGAAGGGCTCACCAGCTGCCTCTCGCCTCCAGTGGAAAAAAAGACGCAGTTTTGTACCCCTTCGTGAAAGTGCAGTCTCTCCTCAGTCACATTTAGTTTTTCCCTTTGTGATCCTGGGCAGTACCAGCAGGGACAGCTTTGAAGGCCAGAGACGAGGGAGCTTCCTTCCCCCACGTCAGCCCTTGTGTCCGAGTCCCAGGATGGCCCCACGGGTGCTTTCCTTGTGGGGTGGCTGCAAGCTGCTCGCCTTGCCTCGCACGTGGCTGCGAGCGGAGCTGTGCGGAAGTGCTCTTATCCGGTGACATTTTTGGGTGGGACTCATCTCACCCGAGCGAAGACATCTGCAAAGTCAGTGTCTGGATCTTTGCTGATGACCTCATCCTCCTTTTGTAGTTAGGGGGGAGAAATAAACACCCGTAGGGTTTATATTGTTTGGCCTCTTCAGATGTCCACGTTGGAATGAAGTCAATTCTACCCTGGAAAAAATAAAAGGTCCTGAATCTGGAACACAGCAATTCAGCTCTTTACTATTTTATTTTTTATACCAATTCCTGTCCTGTAGCCGTACTGCAGCAGGGTGGTTGGACTCGATCTCTGGAGGTTCTTTCCAGCCCCTACAATTCTGTAATTTTCCACACTGATTAAGCCTTACGGTCACTTCAGTCTGTTGCCTCAAAGTCTTCAGGACTTGGTGCTAGAGAGCTATTGATCCACACTGAGTAAGTAGGGTCCTCCAAAGACTGGCAAGGCTTACCGAATCTGTTTGTTTCTGTAAGCTGGCAATCGGACTGGACTGGACCTGTAGGTGAGACACTGTGAACAAATGCTCAGTGACAGCTCAAGTAGCAGTTTAGCACCATTTCTCATCTTAGTTAAGGGCCGCCGCAGGCTGTGGTGTAGGTGCCTTGACAAGGCCACAAGGAAAAAAGGATAGAGCAGTGACAGCCTACAGTCTGCTGGATCTCTGGACCTTTGGGTTGGGTGTTTTTTGGTGGTTGTTTATTTTTTTTGTTTCTTTGGTTTTTTTTTTTTTTTTTTCAGAAATGGATCCTGTCTAGGCATCATCATTTTGGCTGCTGTTGTTATAATAGATAAGCACGAACAGCTTTTAGGACATCCTGCTCATTGTATTGTAAAAGCCATTGTGTTTATGTGCTGGTGGTAGGAAATAATTTTCTTATAAAGAGTGACTACAAAATAGCAGATTGTCCAATTATACTTAGTAATCTACCAAGCATAACAGTCCCAAACTATTATGTTTAGCAGAGCTCCCAATGCAGCTTTTTTTTTTTTTTTTTTTTTGCCTAAATTCAAAGCTCAGAATTGTTCTTTCTAGCAGTGATCATGTATATTTCTTCTACTATTTTTTTTTTTTTTACTAAATAAAAAAAGATCACACAACAGCAATGACAGCAGAAACAGCTGAGGAAACCCCAGGTTAGCTTTTGGCTCAACAAGCCATGCTGATAATAATGCTTTTTCCCGGGGCTGCTGTTTGCTGGTAACTTTGATTTACTAGATAATATTACTGTTTCGTTCAGCGTTCCAGAAATGCGCAGTATTTTACTTTAAAGAGGCATCACGAGAAGATTTAAGAATAGTTTATCCCTGGTGCATTTTGGGAATTCTCGCCCAGTAATGTATGAGTAAGCACTGCATCCCAGTGCTGGTGTATTTCAAACAATTGTTTCCTTTACAGCACGCGGTGGTTTCCTTCACTAAAGCCATGCGTACCGATGCATGTAAATAGTTAACATGTAGTTAGTATTAACATCTGCATTTGTCGTGGATAGGATGTTTGATTGCTGGTGTGCTTGAAATTGCAAGGAAGTTTAAAGCTTAAAATGTAATCAGCTTTGACATACAGGATAATCAAAACACTCGCTGTCATCTCAGCCAGCCTGCCACCCTAGGGAGTAGAGGTAGCAGCTTCTTCCTGGAGTCAGCATAAGGCAGAAAAGTGGCCCGTGGGTATGTAAAGCTAAAAGGTTGTGGAGCAAATACACACCCCAACTAAATGGGGAAATCAGCTCTGTTTTAATTAGCTGCCTTGAGTTGGGCTAAGTGAGGACTCCCACTGTCTAGGTGTGCTTACAGAAAGGCCAGGGAGTGCGTTGGTGGTAGGAGAGTGGGATGGTGGCTGCTCCTTCTCTCCTGCTTACTGTCTTCACACATGTACATCATTGTCGTTGCATTGCTCCAGAAGCATGCATGGATCCTTCTGTGAAATGCACCCCGCTGTTATTTAACTTGCGTATTGTTGGTGCTCTTAAGAAGTGGTTGTGTAGCGTTGCCCCTTTCAAACAGCTGTGTGGTTTGTTCTAACGCTGATCTCATGTATGGTGAGGACAGCCTCCTCTCACCTGAGCTGCTCTCTGCTTGGCACAGCTCTGACAGGGGCGAGCAGGGGGAAGTCCTTCCTCTGCCTTTGTATTGCAGCATCCTGTTTACGGGTCGGGCTCCCAGCCCTCTTTTCCTGATGCACTTGCTTTTCCTCTGTGGAGCCGGATGGAGGAGGAGGAAACCTGTGTGTGAGGCGAATGTCTTGTTCATGCAGGGAGGGGAATTCCTGCTGCACTGAGCCCGTCTGGTGGCATTTAAATAGAACAGGTTGAAATCCTTACAGGCAAACAAACAAACAAACAAACAAAAAAAGAGAAATAATACTTATTGTAAATTAACAGATTTTTCTGTGTTTTTTTTTTTAGTTCTCTGGATTACATAGAATAGAAGTCTGTTACGTGCATATTTGTTTAAGGTAGTGTAGTCACTGGGTTTTGGATGAAGACCAGTGCATTTTAGGAGGCAGTTTTCCACACAGAAGGTGGTGACACACTGGAACAGGTTGCCCAAGGAGGCTGTGGATGCCCCATCCCTGGAGGCATTCAAGGCCAGGCTGGATGTGGCTCTGGGCAGCCTGGTCTGGTTGGCGACCATGCACATAGCAGGGGGTTGAAACCAGATGATCATTGTGGTCCTTTTCAACCCAGGCCATTCTGTGATTCTGTGATCCTTTGCTTACTTCTTGTACTACTGTAAGATTAGAGAAGTATGGGTCTATTTGAGACAATCTCAATGAAGAGGATTTTGTTGTGAACCTGGGGTTTGTTTATTAAGTATGATGATGATATCAATTCAACTTTTTAAAAGCTACTTGTATAAAAGAAAAAAGAGCATAATTTATGCCCATGGTATATTAAACATGCATTTTTTGGTTTTGCTTTTCCAAAGGATGAAGAAGAAGAAATCAAACTGGAGATTAATATGCTAAAGAAATATTCTCATCACAGAAATATTGCAACTTATTATGGTGCTTTCATTAAGAAAAGTCCTCCAGGACATGATGACCAACTGTGGGTAAGCAGATGTTTCTCAAGCATGTTCATAAGCCTTTCCCTTTTGCAAATTATTTGAGGATGATAGAAATATCATTATGGAAAGACTGCCTAATAGAATTTGGTGCTTGCTTGAACAGATAGAAATTGAATAACATAGGCTAATGTGATGGCTGAGCTAAGATTTGTTAGTAGCAGTGTATTTGCTCTTTAAGTAATTTTTTTCCCCATTTCAAAGATGGATAGTAGTGTGTTTCATGGGAACAAGGCAGATGAGCTGAGCAGTAGGAACGTGTGGCTGTGAAAGTAAAGCTGCACTTGAAAATTCTACCCGTTTCTCATTGCATCTCATCTATTCCCTCCAGAGGACTGAAGTTTGGGTTTGAAATGGCAGTGTAGAGACACGAGTACACGCTCTTGTCTCCTATAAATAAGTGGGAATTATAGATTAAGATGTGTTGCAATGGTGTGGTCAGCTTGATTCCTTCAGCACTGTATGTGCTCTTACTTCTGTTACTGCTAATGCATTTTGCACAGCTGAGCATATCCAGATTCCCAGTATTAAATTACAGTGATTAAATCAGTCCTAGAAAATGTGGTAACTAATGTGAGACATATTCCATGTTTGTCTGACACACATTGGAGACATTTGTTTTGGATCCACTTTCAAGGCAGAGAGGTAGAATAAATGATATTCTGTGCTTCATGAGGGTTTCCCAAATCGATGCTGCAGAGTGATTATTTTACTTTGCTAGACAGCTGGAAACTGTGTTTAATGTTGATTGCATGCTGGTATTTCTTTTGCAGCTTGTTATGGAGTTTTGTGGAGCAGGCTCTATCACAGACCTTGTGAAGAACACAAAAGGGAATACTCTGAAAGAAGACTGGATAGCATACATCTCCAGAGAGATTCTCAGGGTAAGGAAAATAGTTCACTGCACTCAGAAACACGGAAGCAATCTTGCGGATGTAACTTAGCTTGTAGTTCTGCAGGAAACTGTTCCTATCAGTCCTGTTAGCCAAGTCATTGTCTGAAGAGCGTGTAGGAGTAGATGGATGTCTGCTGTGCATCATTTAACTTCAATCTCCTACACTGGCAGTGAGGACAAGACCACAAATGCTCACACACTGTGTGAGTTGTGCTGTACTGTGAGAGCAGTGCTGCATGAGAAGGCAGCTTAAGAACCAGAGTCCTTATCTACCGTAGAAGCTGAGAAACAGCACCCATGTGCCTGTATGATGCTTTTTGTAGATTTTTTATTTTTAGAAGACTGAGGTTGCAACAGTGTCATAACACTAGATGGTGCAGAATGGGCTTTTCCAAATGTGCTTACAGCCTTCATTCTCTGCTTATAATCGAGCCTGTGGAGGAAGGGAGCTGTTGGCTTAGGCCAGCCATTGGGACTTTTGTGCTGCAGTGTGCTTACATGTTGCTTATTGCTGCAGTCATTCTAGGGTGAGCAGATATGTCGCATGCGCTGTAGAGTGCTAGCATAAGGCACTGCAAAAGTTCCTCAGAAAGAGGGATGCTACTTATCAGTTCTTCTAAAACTGATAGCTAAAGCTAATTACATCTCATGTTTAATTTCCAGTTGGTATGGTTGAAGTGCTTTTTGAATTGGCATGTTTGCTGTGCTAAGTAAATCTGGTATGATTTTCCTCGTGCTTCTTTGTAAAACAAATTGCCTTCTACCCATTCCATTATACAGTGAGTCTGTTCAATTGCCTCATCAAAACTGAAGTTCCAAGGGCTTTATGTTGAAGGAAACCACCAGTAGCTCTCGCATAAATCAATGCTGCTGATGTCTGCGTTGCACATTGGCTCTGTCTTGGTGATTATTTTAAATGATGGAGGCATATGATTGTGGTCTCTTGCTCAAACTCCATCTGCCAGGAGAGAGTTTGGCTATTGAAGTTTGGGCTGGCACGTTTTGAATTATTGTTTACTAGAAGGAATAAAAGTTACCGTCATGAATACCTACTGGTGGTTGTATTTCCAGTCAAGTGGACAGCATGCTATCCAAGCTAACTGCTGTAATACAGAATACCAATCTTATGCTTGAGTACAGCTGTGCAAACCTGGAAGTACTGCATGCTATGTTGCCTTCACTGTAAATTCTTCTTAAGGTGGTAGGATCATGCTCGCTGAGAAAGTGAAAGAAGGTTTTACTTCAGAAAAGCATTACAGCTGTTTTCTCATTCTTGTGAGACGTTTGTAAAAGGAGCCTCAATTGTTTACGAGCAGAAACTGGAATATCTGAAAAAAAGGGATGCAAAATTCACATTGCAAACAGGCACTGCAAAACCTGATTTGACATTGAGTTTGTCAGTGGTGAATGAGAGAGCTTGTGTAACGAAAAGTTAAATGAGCTGAAGTGCCAAAGATTTGTGCAGGTTAAGATGGAGGTGAGAGCCTCCTGAATGCATCCCTGTGTGGTCGGAGGGACCTCAGAGAACTTACCTGGGACTGCAGGAGGGTCAAGCTGCTGCTGCTTGGTCACATCCTAACCCCTCAAGAGCTTGAATGTATTTTTCCAGTAAGATCAGATTGTACTCCAGAGAGAACATATGATTCATATGATTATCTCCCTGACTGAGGCAGTATAACGTTAGGCTTTGAAAAGTATCGTGTGCGAAGCTGTGGAAAAGCCTTCATTCTTGCAAAAAATAAGGCCACGCTTAGTGTTAAGAGCCAGTGAATGGATACCAAGGACATTAACCATTCAGTTTGTTTCCTTGTGGCATATGCAAGGAGGAGCTGTGGATTATATATTTTTTTTGTCCTGCTCATTAAGTGTTTTTAAAATAGAAAATAGCCCAATGGTTATGTAGGCAAACTGATAAATGATCATTTAATGAAGAACATGTGTTAGAAAATATTTCTCTGCAGCAAGCACTACTCTCTTAACCTTTTGCAGCTGTAAAGGTTCTATTGCTTTATTTTTCATAAAACATTAGAAGTCTGTGAGGGCAGTGCAAACAGGCAAGATGATCCCACCGGAGACTGCAGTTTTCCAAGCAGAGTGCCGAGGAGAAACCAAAATATGGGCAGTTGCTAAGAGGGTTGCCTATTGTTCCACCAATTACATTAGGGAGTAGAATGCAACATATGTCTTCCCCGACCCTCCCTCCACATGGCTAACGCTTTGGGGCATGCATCCAGGTGCTGTCTCAACAAAAAGCACCGTATGCCAGGAGGTTTTGTTTCCTTTGGAAAGTACAGTGCTCGTTGTTCTTTTTTTTTCCTCCATTTTTTTTTCCTGAGGAACAATTATCTGCCTTCGTATTTATGGGAGATAAGTCAAGATAGATGAGAGAATTCCACTCCATCTTTGCAAAAGCACTTTTTTTTGCCATCAGTATTCCATCTCCCTCCAATATAAATGCTAACCCACCACCATCCCTCCTCCTTCTCACAAGACATACCTGCATCATGCTGCTCCCTCCTTTGTCCTTTCTGCCCCACTCCTGGACTAAATTTCCCTTCCTCTAAGTGTGATTCGGTATATGTCGGATGTCACCAACCACACTGGCACCACTGTCATTCACAACGTAATTGTACTGAGACTTTCTGGTCGCTGAGCTTCCTCCAAGTGACAGCTGAGAAGTGTTTACACAGTGCAGATGCTGAGCTGTGTGTATGCACAGCATGGATACAACCTGGGGCCTTATTCCCTGCTCAGTTATCGAAAGCTGAGCGGGTGGTGTGCTGCTACAAGGCTCCTGTGGATTGCATTGCATGTGTATCTGCTGAGCACAAACCCATGCACCAAAGCACGGGCTACAGGGCTGCAAGGCACGGATTGCCTGCTGTTGAACAAAGAGCCTAACTCTGAATGTTGTCTGCTTCCTCTCTTTTCCCTACTGCAGGGGCTGGCACATCTTCATGCCCACCATGTGATTCACAGGGATATCAAAGGGCAAAATGTGTTGTTAACAGAGAATGCAGAAGTGAAACTTGGTAAGTAGACAAGCACAACTGCTTCCTGATTCATCTAGCCTTTGTTGTTTTTCCTGATGTTCTCCATATTAATTTCATACTTCAAAAGCCCTGCAACATGTTCTTTAGCATGTACACTCTGCCACTTCTCTCATGTGGATTGAGGCTCCGGACGTATTTCCTCCTGCAAGTTGTTGCATTTCATTCAGGGTTATTTGTTTTCTTATTGGAATTAGTGAGTGAATGGTTTTGTGTCTACATCAAGTTTTGTGTGGCACAGGTTCGTTCTGATTCCCTTCATTCTGGACTTGGGAGGTGATAGAAATCATTCCTGTATTTGGTTTTAATTAAAACCAGCACGTGCTGTTCAGATTCTGGGCACAAGAATGTGACCTGGATGATGCCTTTGAGGAAGCAGTGGCATGAAGTTCAAAATGCATTTCCACCTCTGGCATGCCTGCTGAAAACCATGCTCATTCCATGGCTCTTCTCTCCTTTGCAAGTGGACAATCTCCTTTTTCTTTTTCTCTAGTCTGTCTCTTCCAGTTACTGCACACTTCAACCTTCTGTGTTTGCATCACACTACATTCACCACCTTTTTTTGGTTAAATATATGTCATGCTGAAGGCCTCCTACCCAGCCCACATCCCTTCTGTTTTGCATTACACCTTCCTGCAGCACGAGGCATAGAAAGATGTCCTGACTCTGTCCTCCTGACAGAGGAGGAAGTTCTCTGGAGAGCTTTTCTTTCAGCCCAAAGTGGAGCACAGTAGCTCCTGAACTGTTGCTCCCACAGAGCTTGTCTCTACCAGTTTGTTTGTATCACTCAAATGATGGATTCTGTGAAGTTGACACAGCCTTCCTAGACAGACAAAATTTCTGGTATCGAAAGGCATATATCACTGTTGTGAATGTGGTCCCATCAGTGGAATTGGGAGTGAGGAGAAGTAAAGGGAAGGAAAATCTCTGGTAATGAAATAAATGTATTTGTTGCAACACATGTGCAGATGTGCTTGAAGTTATCACCTCCTGAATAATCCTCATATTTCCTTCCTATGATGCATCTGCTCTGTGCATTATAGAGCAGAGAGCAGCTCTTCACTGAGCAACAAATTATTTTTGCTGTCCAGCTTCAGAGCAAAAAAGGTGGACAGCCAAAAAGGAGACTTGTTCACATGTGGTTTTCCCATAGCATGAAAGGTACCTTTGGGAAGCTGAGTCCGCTTGTGTAGACAGTCTTGTGCTTAGCTTCACCAGTTAGGAAGAGAATGGTCCTTCCTCAGCCTCCAAGATGGTATTTTTTCAGCCATACGTTCCCTTCTGAGGAGGTGATGCTTCACAGACAGATTGGAGAACGGTGAAGAGACCCTGCTGTGTCTTTTCATGGGCTTGTGGCCTGAGCACATTGCAAGTGAAACACAAGGAGTCGGCTGCCTCTGTATGAATCATCATGTTTCTCTTCAGCAAGGTCCTCCCACATGGAATACCCACCTGGTTTTATTTCCAAATCATCATACAGAAGTAATCACTGCATTATTTTTCCCCTCTGATGTTATTTTAATCTTTTCCCACTTGCAGTGGATTTTGGTGTGAGCGCTCAGCTGGACAGGACAGTTGGCAGGAGAAACACTTTCATTGGAACTCCATACTGGATGGCTCCAGAAGTTATTGCCTGTGATGAAAATCCAGATGCTACGTATGATTACAGAGTAAGAGAGTCATGTTAACACACAGTGAACACACAATAGTTTACCACTGCATTATAAACATCCATGAATGCCAGCAGTTTTTGTGACGTATGCTTTGTAAGAGTAATTTTGTTTTGTGTAGGTACATTCTTGCTATGGGGGCTCAAGGTATGGCTCATTTCTGTGGCTTGTACTGTCTTAGCTTCATAAGGTATAGACTTCAGTGTGCTGTAGCTACTTGGGGAAAGCCAAAAAAAAAAAAAGCTTAACTGAAAGTGCTTGTGTTCTCAATTTGTGTAATGCTGTTCCTATAAACTGTGTTTGAATATGCCCCAGTTATTGTAATAACCCAGAACAGTGCATTTTAGGTGTTGCCTTAAATAGATGCACCGTCTGGAGAGCTAGCAAAGGGCAGGAGGAGGTATTTACACTGTGTCTGTTCCTGATTACTGGATGCATGCGGATCTTGATAAAAGATTTAATTACTGCAAAACCATTAATGGGTGTGATGGTATTTACTTTACCCTTAAGGATGTTATGTTTGTGTATTCAGAGTTAAACTTCTCTAGGCAGAGCATCCTGTAATCTTAAATATATTTCTCAGCTTAGTTTAATGAAAGCAAGAAGAATGAGAAAATAAGGTTTTATAAAAATTTTCACGTAGACTGATGCTACCATTCAAACTTTTAACCAAGAAAGGCAACAAAGAGATTGAAAAAGCAATGATTAGGCTCTTATACCGAATATTAAGGCTGAATATCAAGTTGCTGAGATTGATGTAATGTTAGATATTGGTGTGTAAAAATTTATTAAAAAACAGGAGGTTTGCTGTGGTGTTTGTACCCCTTTTGATTTATTGATCATGTTGGTCATGTTTGTCTTGATTTAATCACTTTTTACAGCTAACAGCTCTTTGAAATAAAAACAGTGCTTCAGATCTTTACAGATGGGATTATTAGGAAGGCAACTATTACATGATTTAGCAAAAGGGAAGAACTCTCTGCTGTAGTCGTTGGTACAGCAGCAGTGTGAAAAGGGGTTCGTTTCACACGCATGTATCGTTCTTGATGCACCCCATAGGGGTGTTGAAGCAGTAGTCTTTTTTAGTTATTTATTTTTTTTCTTCCCTTAGAAAATTGATGGTTGAAGCTTCCATAAGACCAGGAGGCTGTGCAGTTTTGCTTAAAATGAAGGATTGCACCAAGAAAAACGATTGCCCTGCTGGGCTTAAAAGTACAATTGCCAGACCATTAGAAATTCTCTGCTGGTAGTACAGAAGAGCTTGTTTGCTCATCAGTTTTCATTAATTTGTTCAAAATCAGTACTGTTGCCAGAAATGAACGCTGCTTTTTATAAGAACAAGTCTTTCGTAGGAGTGGCTATACTCCTTTCAGCAACCTCCTCCACTGTTTTTCCCCATAAGGAATCTCTTTCATTCCTTGCTGGGACTTTTCCAGCTATGTTTGAGCCTCCTGGGTCTAATTCAGGAGCAAGTGCAGTTAGCTTCCAGCCAGGCACACTCTCCAGAGGTGACACCTTGAAAGACTCTCACTGAAGGGTTCTTCTTTCTTGATGTTTCAAGCAAAACTGATACGACAGGGAAAGAGCATTTGCTTTGGCCACAAGTATAGAGGCCAACAGAGGCTTCTTACCTTTTTAGCAGTAATGGCTATTCCTCTATATGATATTATGTGCTTATATTATTATCTGGTTTCCATTAAGTACAAAAAAGTCAAGGAAGGGCTATATTCCACTAATCTGTACTTGTTTATTTGCTGATTTAGACAGTGAAAAAGAGTTACGGGGTTTTGGGGTTTTGCCCCACGGCCTATGTAGTCCTTCATTTTCTTTGTCTTCTGCTTGGGGGAATATCAAGAGTGTATTCTGTGAGTTTATTACAGGGAAGCGTTTGGTCCCTTGTAAACAAGGGTGGAACAAGGAAAAAATCTGTTGTTTTGTAGACTTAGACTTAAGGCAAATGTATTTTTGTCCTAATGTGAATGCATTCATGTGTTCTTAGGAAGGGTCATTTGCATGCTCTGTATGAATATGTAGATGCATTTGTTTATAAATGTGTATGATATGGCAAGGAGCATTTTGTGATACCGTTAAAGAAAAAAATAGCTTATTATTTAAACAACCTTGTTATTTCCTTACAGCCCTACCTACAGGGCCTCTGCAAATAGCACTCTTACTGTCTGAATGAGTGAATCCACCTCCTAACATATGGTGTCTGTCTCTCTTTATGCAGAGTGACCTCTGGTCCTGCGGCATTACAGCCATAGAAATGGCAGAAGGAGCTCCCCGTAAGTGATGTGTGTGCTTTTCCAGTGGGCTGAATAAAGCTGAAACGTATACTTAAGAGATGCTTGTTGTAATCTAAACCTAGTTTTGAGGTTTCTGAAAGTGTCCTCGTGTTATTTCTATTCTCTTCGGTTTTGCCTGCCCTATAAATATAAAATCCCCTAAACAGCAACACTTTTGATACAGTGCTTAAGCACTACAGCACAGGCTGCAATAATTTAATTTCTATAGCAGGAATATTTGGAAGCTAATCAAGCATCAGACTTCCTTCCTATGGGTAGTATACTGTCTTTTGGAAGCGTGACCCAGTTTGTGTATGGTCTGGCCTGAGATACTGGAACCTCAGCTAGGGAGAGGTGCAGTGGAGCCTTGAGAAATTTGACCGTAATGAATAAAGCACCTGTAACAATCTTTTCTGTGTTGCCTTTCTGTGAGGCTGGGTAAGGCTAACACTGCTTCTCCTTTTGTTTCAACTCATCAGCGGGCGGTGTTGATCTTCCTTAGAAGTGGCATGATTTAAGCTGTAAATCCATCTTCGGTACATAATGTTGAACTTTATTTATGCTTACTGCTTGAGAGCGCTCATGAGTTGATATTGATATTTTTGAGGGAGAAAACTGGAAAAAATCCTTAGGATATAGGAAGATATTCTTACCCCCACTCCCAGGTTTGGCTCTGGATTTAAAAAAACCAAGCAGGGTAAAGTACTTAAGAGTAAACTACAATATTAATTTCTTTCTAAGTGTAAACAAACGCTACCACCACACAAGAGCCCAGCTTGAAACTTGAAATGATTGCATTGAAATGAAGTATTGACATTTTCCTACCAGAAAAAAAAGCAGTCATTTCATTTGCAGCCTCTGCTAGATCATTGCTGTTGTTAATGTAAAATTCATAAAATGAAGCATGACATTCTTGTTTGGATTCACGTTGTAGGAGGTCTGATGGTTTGGGTTTTTTTTCCCTTTCTAATGGCAATTTTGCATGAATGCCCATATGAGAGCTGCTCCCAGGACACCTCAGCCAGCCCTGTGTTAACAGCATTTGAGCTACCACTTGACCTCCTTTTTGCATTACCTTCTTGTTCAGAGCATTGAGTTGCCTGGGAGGCTCTCAATTAAAGGCTGTTTCAGTGGGCTTTGTAAGCCTGGAATTGGACAGGAATATTTTTTCATCTTCGCACTGAAAAAAATTGTGGCCCCTTTTCATGTGAAATCAGAAGAAGGGCATTTTGAAAGTAAGCAAAAATCCTATGTTAATGCTAAATAGCTCTTGCCTTGGACTGTCCACTGGTATGTGGGATCTGCCTCCTCAAGAGGCAGCTGAAAAATCTGTCCTTAAAGTTGGTGATTGTGTAATCAAGATGTTACAATCACAATATAATTGTGTATAATCAATAGATATCAAGATGTTATAATTGCAATATAATCAAGAGAGTAAGGCAAAGCAGACTACGATCACAAGAAGAGAATAAGTGGAAGAGCTTACCCTTGGGTTGAGCTCACCAGAAGATACCAAAAGAGGAGGATCTCCAGAAGAGATCCTTCCCCTCTGGTAGCCAGCTCTTAAATAGGTCCAGGAGGGGGGGGAGCCTGGCTCCACCCCTTCCGGCAGCACAGGTGAATTGCCTTCACCTGTGCTCCTCTGGCTGACTCAAGGCTCACCTCAGGTGATCAATCAGAGGTTCAGGCCGTGACTCAGCAGTTCCCATACAGTGATCTAGTAGAATCCGTGGGCATCCAAGAGTTTTCTCCACCAGCATTGTGGCCTCTTGTCTCAGAAACCTGGATTCCTATCATGTCAGTCTGTTTGTCCTGAGTTTCTTGTGCATGGCAGACATTTCCTCTTCCTGGAGAGATCATTGGAGCTGGAATTGTGGTGCAAGGGGTCAGCCATGGGAAGATGATCAAAATGGAGGATTTGCTTTCAGTTTCCTTTCTTGGGCGGCCTCCTTCCCTGCTCTGTCAGCTCTGCCATGGTACTTCTGCTCCAGCACAGCAAGAAAGATCGTCTGGCAGAAATTCCAGACTCCAGTTCCACGCTCTCTGAATTAAGAGAGTTCAGGTTTACATTGCAGTTCTGCAGGGAATATATATATATTTTATTTATTTTTTCCATATCGATACTTCCATGTTTCGAAATCTGCAGGCCTGGGAGTATAGAAAAGCTTCAAGTTTGGAGAGTGAAAATGAGGCATCCTGCTTTAGTTGTTGGTGTATGGGAGAGGAGGGAAAGTGAAGAACTTACATGTAAAAGTAACTGGTTTTCTTTCTTTCTGCCATCGTTGTCTCCCAGTATTCTCTTGAGCAAAACTTAAGTTAGATAACTTGGAAATGGAGGAGGGCTGTGCACAAATGTTCCCATTGTGATTGATTCTGAAGGTTAATGTGTGCCCTGATCTCTGGGGCTGCCCTTAGCATGTTGAGCTACAGAATTGTTGTCATTTTGGTCAAATTCCATCTAGCTGGGTTGCTGTCTACAATTCATGCATGTGTGGTGGGGATTGTGGGAATGTCTGTGGGAGCTGAAGCCATGGTATTGACAGAGAGCAACTAAGCAAATGCCTACATATTTGTGTTTGGTTTTGTTTTCTGTCCTCCAGCACTTTGTGACATGCATCCCATGAGGGCACTCTTTCTGATACCCAGAAACCCTCCCCCCCGGTTAAAATCCAAGAAATGGTATGTATACGTTGCTTCTTGTTTCTGTCTTCTTTTGTAGCCATGGTATTTTGTCTTTGTGCTTATCATTCTGCTTCCAATTCCACAGAACTGTAGGGCAATTTGTTACCTAAAATCGCTCTGCTGTTATCTCCTGTGCCATTGAACCAAAGCATAAAATAAAAAGCGTGTATTGTTTATTTAGTTCTGTTTGTCCCAGAGGTATGGTACCAAATTCTATGAAAATAAAAATGAAGCGTGTTTTTTTTTTCCCTCTATGGAACAGCATCAGTATTAAGGGGACAAATAGAGCTGTGTTTTAAAAAATAAACTCCTGCAGCACTCTTAATAAGCAGTACGTTTTCTCCGGTGTATCATAACACAGAAGCAGAGCAGCACTGTAGTGTACTAGTTGCTAAGTTGAAAGGAGCTATTAAAAGTAATGAAGGCTTTTATTGTAATTATTGTAAACGATTGAAATTGAGTGTGTGCTCCTTGCCAGCTGAGAAGAATCCATTAGTATCGGAGGATTTCCTCACAGTTACTGGTTATGACTGGCATGTATGAAATGAAAGTACTCCCTGGAAGAGGTTTCATATAGATTGAATGTGATCGCAGAATGCTGTGATCCTGTCAAAATAGTGATTTGCCATATTCAACATAGTATGATCTTGGTTTGCTTGCTGGACTTGGTCTTTGCCTGAGTTGACTTATTTATGCACTTATGCTGTCAGGGTATCCCACTCCCTCTTTCGAATCTGCTTTCTGCATGTGTTAAATAAAGTATTTGTACGAACATTTCATGAACCTTTTTATTGCTTTTTATTCAGAGTCATAACATTCTAGGTGTGAGTAGTAACAGAAAAAAAGTGAAGTTAGCTTGAATTCGTCCTCCTACATAGCACTAGGAAAGTGAAGCAATGGATGGAAACCGTTGTTGGTTTTGCATTTAACCAGATAATAGAAGCATTTGCTGCCCAAGCACGGAAGCAGCTTGAGAACACCAAGCAATCAAAAAGTGAATCTGGCCAAAGCCAGGGCTGCTGGGACTCAACTGTTTTTATTTACTGTAGTCAATATCAGGTTATGAGAAAATAGGCCAAATGGTGAAAAATACAGTTGTGAATATTTCCCTTGCTGGCGTTTTGAAAGGCAGTTTGTTTGGAGACTTCTGTCTGGAGAGATCCTCTTTGGAGAGTTCAAATTAAGTGCAGGTTGAGAATGGCGGTGCCCCAGCTTGACAGATTTCCATTCCCTGTCACTTTACGCAGTGTGCAGGAGGAACTCAGTTCAGTTTATATCCCTTAAATTGTACCAGTGAGAATTTGCCCCCAAGTGCTGGTGTTGAATGGACAGCATTGTTCAACATCGCGTGTTATTCTGTGAGAATTGCTTTGTGTGGGTCTTCAGGTGGAAAATAAATAATCTTAAGCTATTATAGACCCTTCTCAGTGAACCCAGGTTGCCTGTAAAAGCAGCAGTGTGCATGGTGCTGCTTGCATTAGTGCAGTGTTGGCAGCAACTCTTGCGGCTTTCCTCATGGCTTGTCTGAAGTAGACATGCCCTTAGATAGCATGGGCAGGTGGAGACACACCAGAGCTGCCCTGCCTGTGCTCCAAGCAAGCTGGATGCAAGCCAGCTCCAGTCCAGAAGTAGCAGAGCTGGGTTTGCATGATTTGCTTTCACTAATATATCCTGCATTTCAGGGCAATTAAGCCTGTGAAAGAGGGCGCATTTCTGCAACGCTGTGCCAAAGCACTGCAGGTATGTTGGCATTGCCCTGTGTCCGCCCAGCCCGGTGTTCAGCTGGAGCATGCTTGGCTCTGTTTTGGAAGCACACTTGCAAACAGCATTTTTGCCATCTTCTGGGATGTGATGCTCTTCGAGGAAAGGAGTTAGATTTTGGGGAAGAATGGGAGAAGATGTTTGAGCTGAGTTGTGGCTGTGATCTTACTTTGTTTTGCTTTTTTTTTTCCCCTTTCCTGCTTCCTCAGGTCAAAAAAGTTTTTCAGCTTTATAGAAGGTTGTCTAGTGAAGAATTACATGCAGCGACCTTCTACAGAGCAACTACTGAAACATCCATTTATACGTGACCAACCAAATGAAAGGCAAGTCCGAATCCAGCTTAAGGACCATATAGACAGGACCAGGAAGAAGAGAGGAGAGAAAGGTATGCGCTTCTAAAAATCCATTCTTGCAGCTTACTAAGAGTAGGTATTTTTGTTTTGCTTTTTGATCTAAATCCCCACCGCTAGAAAAGCTCCAAAAAACCCCATGCCCTTGAGATGTTCTTTTTTAATTCATGTGTTGACTCTCAGCGGGTTTTTGAGTTTTGTTCTGTCATTATACGGAGAAAATATCAGGTGCAAGCATCTCGTTTTCAGAGAAGTTGCATTTACTCCTGTATGAGCTACTGCCTCTTCCATCTGAGCATTAAACAGTATTCAGGAGGATATTGGCATTTATGCCTTTGCATTTTTTGTTCTGTGGTAGGTTCATTTCTGGAATGATGCCATAAATGAAACTCAGGAAGTAACACATCACGAGACCCGTGAAGCAAATGTCTCGGGCAGCCTATTCTCTTTGTTCAGGTGGTGCCAAGATACCCCAGATGTTTTGTCTTATGTATAGAACTTGGTGTCATTCAGGGAATTTGCCAGAAGTTTACTGCAGAGCACTGCTTTGCTACCTGTGTGGGAAGATGGGCTTGTATATGTATGTAAATGAATCCTAGGGTCTGAGATGGACCTTCTCACTGAAGGGGTTAGGAACTGGTTCATTAAGGCACTGTTTCAAATCTGCACTGTCCTGAAATAAAAGATAAGCACTGTCTAGGTCAATGTTTCTTTCCTTTAGATGAGACGGAGTATGAATATAGTGGAAGTGAGGAAGAAGAGGAGGAAGTGCCTGAACAAGAAGGAGAGCCAAGGTAATAATTGCTCTTTGGAGGGTTCTGAGCAGTCCATGCTAAGCAAGTCTAAATGCCCATGACGTAAATCAGGAGCATGCTGAATTTCTGTTTTCTATTAAGTGCATGCACAAGCTGCACAAACCACCCAAAGGGTTTGAATGCCTCTTCTGTGACTGCTGAAGGTTTTAAAGCTCCCTGTTGTATGGCTTAGAGCCAGAGAGCTCTGGATGGAAGGAGATTTATGGCAAATGTGATTGGTCAGGGGCTCCAGCATGTCAGAGTTGGTCCGTATTTTGCTTGGCCTCATTTCACGCCTTCCACTGAGAGCGTGTATTTGATGTGCATCCAGTGTCGTTTTGAAAGAAATGGGATTAAAATTTAACATCATTATATGTTTTATTAATGTTTCCCTGCTTTGGAAAAGGTATTTAATGGCCCATCAGGTTTTTTTTTTGTATGAGAGACTTCAGCTTCCTTTTGTTGCAGCTCCATTGTCAATGTGCCTGGAGAATCAACCCTCCGACGTGATTTCCTGAGGCTGCAGCAGGAAAACAAGGAACGATCCGAAGCCCTTCGGAGACAGCAGCTGCTGCAGGAGCAGCAGCTCCGTGAGCAGGAGGAGTACAAGAGGCAGCTACTGGCAGAGAGACAGAAGCGCATTGAGCAGCAGAAGGAGCAAAGGAGACGGCTGGAAGAGGTAGAGACAGGAGACCAGAGCCTGGGAGCAAGAGCCCCTCTTCCACTTGTGTTTCCCATACCCATGCCCATTTAGAAAGAGTTCTCTGCAGCCTCAGAACATCTCAGGAAAGAAAATGTACAAATTCACTGGCAAACGTAGAGCAGAAGATTTAAACCCAAGTCTGCCTACATGAATGTGAGCAGTATTCCAAACTATTGAATTTCCAGGAGCTCCTGTGAAGGCAAGAGGAGCCAAAGCCTTAGTTGTTTGAAAGTATCTGGGGAAGTCTGGGCCTTGGTTTCTGTTCCAAAGAAGAGGCAACATGTCTAGACTCTAGGTAGCTATAGAGAACAAGAGACATTATTACTGTGCAGATTTTTTTTTAAAACTGGGCAGTGCATCAAAATGATTTTTGGGAGGCCGTGATGTGCTTAGAATTTCACTGGAAAACTTTCTCAAGCAGCTGTGTTTGACACTCATTCGTGTTAGGTAGAAACCTATTTTGTCATATATTGTTCCCTCCTACATAGTAGCATGATGACTAGAAGTGACACAGATTAATAAGTATGATTTAAAAATCAATCCTAAATTTATAATTGTACAAAAATCATTAATACTTAAATCACGCTTCTGTAATATGGTAAGTAAGCAGTTTGCATGTGCAACCTGGAGGTTAGGGGAAAAAAACGAACGTGTAAAGCATTGTTCCTTTTCGCCTCTTATGTGTGTTTATAGCTATGTAAATGGAATAGTCAGTGTGAGCTTCTGAGGTAAAAGATTTCAAAACAGCTCTTCAGCCAAAGCTGGGCATGAGAGCTGCAGTGAAACCAGTCATCTGGCTCTGCAGGAAATGCAGGGTCAAACTCCAGTTGTCCTTAAATGACCTCTTATTGAGTCACTGTTTCTACTGTTCACTTAGCAATGGTGAAAAAACTACACCCAGTCTGATTTTCCAAATCCTGCTAATGCTTAACAAGGAGGCAACCAGTACCAAATGTTAATTTGCATCCCAACTTCAAATTTCATGTGATGTGTTTATGTAACAAATAACAGAAAATTCCAAATGGCTTTCCAGGTCACGCTATGCTCCTTATCCCTCCTTTTTAAGTGTGCCAGAGAGTTCAGTGCTGTTATAAGAAGGGACTGGTAGCAAACGCTCAGCCACACATAGAGCCAGGAGGAGGGGCAAGGGGGAGACTTATAAACTCCATTTCTTCTTTGTTTCTTCCCCACCCTTCTGAGACTGCCAAGATAAACATTGTTGCTCATCCAGCTGTTTTTAGACTTTGGCTGTGCAAGAATTTTTCAGGGGAACAGATGACAAAAAGACACTATAAAAAGAAAACAAGGGGCTGATATGAAAATATTTTTTAAAAAATTTACGTTGTCAGGTGTGGGTGAGAGATACCACTTCTGCTCTAAGCTTGATTTTAGTCTGAAGGTCAGTAAGTTCTTTTAAATGCCTCTTTTATGTCTAGGGTTCTCTGGGGAGTAGTTCTTTGGTGAGGAGGGGTATTACAATTACATTATCTAAGTCATTTAACTTCAGTAATCAGTACAAACTTTAAAATCTGGAATTTCATATTAAAATAAAGGAAATGCAGCTGCTATTAATGGAAACAAAGCAATGTGCCTCTTTGCTGCACAGGGTTGAATGGTATTTGGGAAGTTGCAGAAATCGTAAGTTGCTGAGCATCTGAAAGAAAAGGCAATTACCTGAAAGTTATGTTTAAAGCAGTCTTGCTGCTTCTTAAAATACAAGACAGAACTAACAGCTTCAGCAACCACAAGACATCATGTAATGTAGGTTGATGTATTACTGAATAAGGTTATATGGTAAACCATGTAGAGTTTGAAAGAGAAGAGCTATTACCTTTTATTGAGTCTGTAACCTCTTCCTGGTTCCCTTAAAGTCATTAATATGAGTGATGAGCTCTAAAGGTTTTCTTGTACAGATGATGGTGGGGGAGTTCTTAAAGTGAATTAAAAATGGCTTCAGAACTTTAAAAAAAAAACAGCTCACTTAATGTGTTGGATCTTCGGTTGGAAAAATGCAAGTTCCCCAGTGATTCTTAACTAAGCATCTGCCAAAACAAGCTTTTTAAGATGGGGGAAGGGTAGTAGACACATATTTAGATAAACATCAGTATTGTGACACAATTGAAGGCCAAAATACTGAAATGTTGTCACTTTGTCCTTAACTCACCCACTGTTTGATGAAGCCAGTAAACAATGAGGAGCTTGGTAATGTTATGATTAGCATCAGGCATCGAATCTTTGAGTTTATGTCAGTTTTTGGATATTATTAATAAGCACTGCTTTCTTGTAATTTTTGCTTGTGTGCAGCATATGTTTTGGTATACCTGTTTGACATTCTTAGGAAAGAATTCTGTGCATTAGATAATCTCCCTGGCCTAGTTACTTGTCTCCCTCTTCCTAAATTAAAATCGAGGGCTTGTTCTTACAATGCTGACACAGAGCCTAGACGGTTTCGACTAAGACTGCAACAGAAATGGTGCTTAGGATACCTGCCAAAAACTGTAATTCTCAGCAGTGTGTGAGAAAAGATGGCTTTCTAAATGGCATAAAGGTGACTTTTAAAAGTCACTGTTGCAGGGACCTTATTATTTATATATTAGGAGGTGGAAATTATACAAGGTCAAAGTGCAGGAAATTATTTGAAACATTTTGAGAAGAGGATTGCTCCTCCTCCTCCTCCCCCCACTTTAGAATGTGCATAAAGCTTCATTGCATAAATATCTGCTATATGACATATGAGTATACTTGGATGGTTAAAACAAGGAACCTGAGTTGTTCTAGGCTGTGCTAACAGGTTCATCATGCTTCTGTTCATCAACATGGTGGTCCCAGTGCTCAGTGTAACGCACATGGAAAGGCACCGAAATTTATACTTTGCAAAACTGAGTCTGGTTTGACAAATTCAGAATTAGCTGATCTGTATCCCATTCTGTGTGGACCTCTGTAGGTCAGGATAACCAGATGAAATTATATGCCTGGTAATGAGAACCTAAGATGGATGTTCTTGTGGTGTTAGGGTATAGCTCCAATAGAAACAGATTTGTGGAGCTCAGTAATTAGAGTGCTGAGGACCCAAAGGCTTCACTACCAGTGTTTGAAGACAAGAGGAATTGCTTTGGATTAGCTGAGGTCTAGACTGCCTGCCTGCTTGTGGTTGGAGCACATTTGCCCTTTTAATTTCGTCCAAAAGGAGTGGTTGGCACTGTGAGACCTCTTTAAAATATGAAACAAAACCTGGTAAGAGGAGACGATTGGATGATTCACTTCAAAAGAGCACTCCTGATTTGAACTAAGATGCTAATGTACTTATACCCGCAGGTGATTTTTGCCGTAGCTTTGTTTCTTTTACATATGAGGAGATTATTCATATCTACTTCATTTGAATTGCCTGCACTTTGGACTGGTACTGAGTAAGAAGTTCTACATCTGGCTTATCTGTTGTGTGAGCAAAGCAAAAGTCCCTCTATCAATCTGAATAATCCTCTTCCTAAGCTGATACCAGCCTGCCCAATTCTCTGTGAAATAGATAATTAACATATATATTTCTCAGCCTTTACCTGAGAACAAGGCAGTGTAATAATATTCTTGAATATTAAATTAGGAGGTCTATATCCACCTTAGGCATTTCATTGTATGAACTGGGTCCTAGATCTGTTGGTAAATACCAACTGCATGTGTAGTTGCATTGCCCCCTCCTGGTAAATCATACTCTACTACATGGCCTTCCAACGTGGAGGTGTAGGGTACTGCTATGAGATCATCCTAAATGCACCCTAAAGCCAGCTGAAGAGCCTGAGTATATACACTGTGTTTTCTGTATCTTATTTACGTCTCTGCATGTTTCTAGTGTTTTATGATGTTTGAGGTTGCGTGTGTTCCATAAAAATTCTATTTCATCATCTCTGATATTTCTTTGAGTAGTTCCTATACTTACCTTCTGGGTATTGATTACCTTTTTGAAAATAAACTTTTCATCTTATATGGATAAGAAAGTTGGTAATACCATATCCAACTACAGAAGATGTATGCATCCGCTTAATCCTGATGTTTACTTGATACCTAATGTGTATGTAGAAGAACACTGTTTTACACCAGAACTGTTCTGTAGTGTATGATAAAAATTACAACATCTTACAACCACACTTATTAAAGTCAGAAATTCAAGTTCTGTAAACAGAACTGACAATAGTTTTAACTCAGGCCGCAGATTTTAGTGATTTTCCCTTCCTTGGGGCAAGCTAAAGGAACTCAGTGGCCACGGCTTTATCTCTGTGGAAGGATTACTGGAGGCAACCAGGTAACCTTGTGCCAACAGAAGCATGGTTGGAAATCACCTAAAGGGCTGCTCCTGAAGCCATCTTGGGTCAACGACAGCTTGCAACTAACCACCTTTGCCATTACTTTTGACAAACTGTAGAGCCGGATCCAAGAGTTGCTTGTCACTGTGGATTTCCTTTCCCTGTGGTTGTTAAGTCAGTTCCACTTTGTTAGCAGTCACTGTTCCGGTGCTCAGGTTACAAGGTAGTGCTCAAAGGAAGGGGAATTTTTCTCCTATAGTTAGGAGACTGAGAATAAACAGATGGTGTAGGGTATTTGTGAATATGCATGTGGTGCCAGGTCCTTGCTTTCTGCCTGCATGGCAGTGGGTTAAGGGGATTTCTGGTGGGAAGGCAGTAGCAATGCATTGAAATGCCATCTCACTGTGCTCTTTGGTGTCTAGACAATAACGAATAACGTGTTTGTGCTTTGGGGAGTTGACTTAATTGCACATTGGTGGCAGAAGATCTGCCTTTAAAACAAAAAAAAATGCTGGATAATAAATATTCAGCTACCAAGTTAGCAGTCTTGTTCAGGAGTGGCTGAAAAATCTAGTCTTGTAACAGTCAATAATTGTTTTCATGATGCCGTGGGGAGTCAGCTGTCTCTTAGTCAAATTGTAACTTGTTTTTATATTAGTAAGTTCAATTTATTTATTGTTGACTATTCCTTTGTTGGTTCAAGAAGTGATGAATTTGTGTTGTCTGAAAGATTCAAACTCTGCCCATTTTCCTTGTAACGAGAATGATGCCATCACAAGATTTGCAGAATATCCACTTGATAACATCAACACAGTGTTGTTAGACAGGCAGGCTTCATATGCTTAAGAAGTGTTTGAGTTGATAAATGTGCATATTAAGCAGCCAGCAGTGTGTTGTCTCTCACATCCGCAGGGCAACAGAATTATTGCACTTCGTATCTTAGTTTTCTTAAACAAAGAGCCTGTCAGACTTGATTAGCCAAGAGGCACTCGAATATATTGGCTTAAATATAGAAATTGTTTGACACAGATGTGTATATTCAGAAATAAGAGTGCCTGTTTAATGCCTTCAAAGAGCGCATACATCGAAGTGAAGGAGAGGGAGCAGTGAAACCTATGAAATGCACTGTGTTTGACAGCTGCCTTGCAGCACTCCAACTATTTCTGTATCTATCCTCATTGAAGAGAGCTTCCTTAAACAAGAGAGGAAAAACTGGTAGATGTGTTTAGTTAGGAGAGGATGTGCAAGAGTGCAGAAGCTATGTTTCTGAGAAGAATGCAGAGAGAGAGAAACTTGTCCTTCGTGGCATAGAGAGGTGGTAATGAACCTAGGATGTCCTTTTGGGCAAGGAAGAAAGGGGTCATAGTAGAGAAAAGTATATTTGAACAGTGGTCTTCAAGGAAATTGTATGTTTTACAGAACAGCATGTAGTTAAAGAGAATCATAATGCAGCCCATTTTTTTTTATTACCAATTCTTAACATGCCTGAGTTGTGTCAGCATTGATTCTAGAAGGCAAAAAAGCAGTTGGACTTTCAACTGTTTCATAGGCATGTAAGGTAACATAGTGAGTAGAGGAAGCTCATCCCAGTTCCATGAAGTAGCCCAAGGAGTGTAGTTGGGCCTTTGCTCATTCAGTGAACAAAACACTTTCAGTGAAAAACGCACCCATAACGATGGATTTATGAACCCTCCCAAAATCTTAATCAGAGCGTTCTTGCAAGACTGTTCGTAGTGCCCTAAACTGGTAAATATGTGGCAGCTTTGCATCAACAAAAAAAGTGGTGATTGTATTGATCTGAATGTAAAAAGCAATAACCAATGGGCTTGGGGTTTTACTGTTGGATCTGGGATTAAATTTGAGTATGCTTATTTTTTCTTGTTTTTCTCTGCTTTTTATCATACTGTAGAAATCTGTAATAAAAGAAAAAGTAGATAAATAGTTGAACAGGAGACAGCTGGGTCTTTTGACACTCAGGCAGTTGTGGGAGGCTGCCTGGGATTTTGAGGTAGGTGGACAAACTGGATGCTTCTGCAGAAGTGCTGAAAGAGTTGGTCACGACTGTATGGGCATTTAAAATGTCTTCTCTGAATGTCATACGTGGTTGTATCTGGACGTAAATGAGTTGTTTCGTGCTTTTTAGAGCTGTTTTCCAAATTCTTTTTAGACTTGAGCAGACTTATGGGCACCAGTTTGGATTTGGGTCATGTGTGGAAGCTTATCTGTGGAAGCATAAAAGCTTAACTCAGCTCTTTTATGTCTTTTACATATAGGTGCTTTTGATGTTCTGGGAGGGGCTGAGGTGCTGTTGGTCAGCCTTCATTCTCTGTCGGGCAAAGTTTTGGGCAGTACATTAAATTGAGTTTGATTGTTGACCCAACACCGCCAGATTCTTAGCCGACCATAAGCTAGTCTTTGAAAGAGAAGCTGCTTACCAAAAGCTCAGATGGTTCTCGTTTGACTTTTAGCTGATTCAGTGAGGCTGATCATTTCCTGCTGGAAACAACTAGGTAATGTGTTGAAGCCCAGAAAACTGTCCCTCTGCTTTATACTCAAGTTCAACAGTGCCTCACAGATTGAGATAACAGTGCCTCAGAGATTGAGATTTCAGTGCGAGTCTCTGTTTTGATGAGCAGAGGTGAGCTTCCACACCACAACTGTCAAAAATATAGTATGTGACTTCTTATATAAGAAGCCCAGGAGAGTAAGTGATGCCTTTAGAGGTAGTTTTTTGCTAGGTATAAGTTAGTTTCCTGATGGAGCGCTTGCATAAAATGTTTTGTCACTTAGTTGCAGAGCTTGCCAGTCCTGGTAAATCCCTCTCTTCCCAGCAGAAAACAACCCCACCTCTTTCTTTGATAACAACAAAAGTAAAACTTTGTGGTTTCTTTTCCCTTTTTGTAGCAACAAAGAAGAGAACGGGAAGCTCGCAGGCAACAAGAGCGTGAGCAAAGGCGGAGGGAACAGGAAGAAAAAAGACGTCTGGAAGAAATGGAGAGGAGACGTAAGGAAGAGGAAGAGAGAAGAAGAGCAGAGGAGGAAAAGAGGAGGGTAGAAAGGGAGCAGGTGAGTCCATGATACGTATATATATGGAATGGGTTTGTTTCTTCTTGATTCTAATTTTATTTTCTAAAAAGTAATAAGGCTAAAACAGTCTAGAGACAGCCATATGCTGGCATTTTCATCTTTGTTGTCTCTGACAGCAAAGGCAGTAACACAGATTGTAGGGCTTTATGGAAAATTGTTGCAGCCTCAATATTCCCTCAAAAAAGACCTTTTGTTATGGTAGTTACTCTAAATTCAGCTCATGTCTCTGGACTTGACTAAAAACCATCAGAATTGGTAATTGGTAATCACTGACTGAAAACCATTTATAGGTTTGTCTTTCTGGATCTGTGGTTCTTGCAGGATGTGCCCCATGTTCAAGAGGCCTCCGAGAGAAAGGCAGTTCTGTTGCCTGTCGACTTCTGGCACCCAGAGTGGGTCAGAGGGTCTTCACAAGTTTTGCATATTCTGAATTTGTGGTGGAACCTTTGAGCTGCAGAAGATTTTCCTTTCTAAAATTCATACAGTTAAATATGCAATCTCACTTTATTTAAAATCAAGTATGATAATGTATGCCAATTCAGGCAGCAAATGTGTCTTAAGTTGTCAGAGTGCTCTTAACACATTGAAAGTACAGGTGAGAAACCTTTGAAACCATATGAAGTTGAGCTGCCGAATTTATGCATGGAATCTTCATGTTTTAAAAATTATTTAAAAACTCTGATCGGGTTGATAATCAAGGTAATAATTACTCTGCATCACTGTGATCTCAAATAAAAAGCCAAAATTACTCTCCTAGAGGCATTGTAAATTTCCTATTACCTTCAGGAGTGTTGGTTTTGGCCTGACATACCTAATTTTTCTTCCATAAAGTCATTGAGATCATTGATGATCATGTTACTGGGGAATTTTATTGTGTTTATATATGTTTCAAAGATTTTTTGAGTCAAAAGAAGAGAAGACTAACCGATGGGAATAAATATGGAAAATCTTTAATTACAGCACAGCAATTTGCTTTTGGGCAGACACCGGGTATTCCCCCAGCTGCTTTTTAAACTGTTGAAATGCAAATTACGCACAGTGCCAATAATGACGAATGGTTAATTGATGCAGTCAAACGACTACAAATTATTTTTTATTTAAAAGAGAGAGAAGACGTGTCCCCTCTTAGAGTTTTTGTTCCCCTAAACAACGGCTCAGCCAGTGTGCGTAATGACAACATAGTGGACGCCATCAGTCTGTCGCAAGACTTTCTATAGCTCCCATCACTGTATCACTGAACCATTAATTTCTTTATGCATACACTGTAAACGTATGCGTGCTTGCGTGCGTGTGTGCGTGCTTGTGTGTGTGTGTGTGCATGCACGTGTTACGTACTTCCATTAATTGCATGATAGGATGTTACCAGCTTGGGTTTGGTGCTTCAGACTTTGAGTTGTTGTAGGGGGGTCAGGCAAAGCTGCAGGTAAATGTCTTGAGCTGTGAAGGCTGCAGGCGAACAGACGGCTAGATCGCAAGAGCGAGCAAGTTTGGTCTAATATCTGTTTCCTGGTGGATGTTTGTTTGTGTCATAACTCATCGCATAATTCAGCAAGGCTGGCAGCGTCTGCTCAGGAGAAGCTTTTGGTGAGGGCGGCAGGGGAGAAGGCAGGGCAGGGCTGAACTGCATTTGGCAGAGCCCCTTTGGGGGGAGCTTGCACCAGCTCTGCCCGCACTAAGCCTGACTCTAGCTGTTGCTAACAGTTCATCGCACCAGTGCAACAAACTAATGTTTAATACAACTTGCATGTGACTTTGTGTTGGCTGTGTTGAGTCAGATTTGCTATGTTTTAACTTTACCAAAACCTTCAAGTGCATTGTGCTGCTTCTTGAAATCACTTCCAAAATATGTAAATGAGTTCTGGCTCATGCCGACAACATTTGCAGTAGTCCAAATTTTGGAATGGAAGGGGCCAAAATACGATGCTCAGGAGACAGGGCTTCCTAAATTCTTCTGCAGGCACTAATCCACCCTGAAGTGCATTTCTCGTTAAAGCTGAACTGGGGAAGTAGCGTGCGGTGTGCCACCCAGGGGGTTCTGATGCATTCCTTTTGAATAAATTCATTGCTGGGTAATTTCTATGTGACAGGAGTATATCAGGCGACAGCTAGAAGAGGAGCAGCGGCACTTGGAAATTCTACAGCAGCAGCTGCTCCAGGAGCAGGCCATGTTACTGGTAAAGCACTGTATCTGTTTTGTTCAGTAGCTATAGGATCCATTTATCTGGCCAGTCCTAGGCTTCCCTCAGTCGGGCACAGCTGCACTGACAGTATGACAACAAAGGAGCTTGATTAAAAGGCCATTTATACTAGCGTCGTGGGCTGACAGGCACATATGAGAAGTGCTGTGTGGTCACACTGCTTTCTGGGCTGTAAGAGGAGGCTTTATGTTAAAGTGGAACAGTTCTGGTTTGGCGGTCGAGTTTCTGAACAGACCTTGAAGAACTAGAGTGCTTGTGTTGCGGATCAAAAGCGCACATGATATGTAAATCCACCCCAGGATACAATGGCCTAGTGTTGTTCTAAATCATTGTTTTATGAACTTACACTGAATCTAGTATAAATAACTTTGTTCTTTTTTCTTTTAATAAAAATCAGTTTTGACATAATTCTCCAATCACATGAAGCTTAGAAGTATGCTCTCAACTTTCCCTAAATTAAAAGCGTGTTTCTATATTAAGTTTGTCTGTTTCCATGAGACGCGTGTCATATTGATCCAACTTAGCTTTTGGTTACACTTTAACAATGAAATAAATAAAAAAAACAAAGCAACAGCAACCAAAAACGTGCATTTTTAATGGGATGCATAGGGACATGTCTACCATATATTCCATGCCATGTCTTGAATTACTCACACATTCTCTCAAAGGAATACAGATGGAGAGAGATGGAGGAGCATCGACAGGCTGAGCGGCTCCAGCGCCAGTTGCAGCAGGAGCAAGCCTACCTCCTGTCACTGCAGCATGATCACAGGCGGCAGCAGCAGCAGCAGCAGCAGCAACAGCAGCAGCAACAACAGCAGCAGCAGGAAAGAAATAAACAAAGCTATCATACCCCTGAGCCAAAATCCCACTATGAGCCTGCTGAAAGAGCGCGTGAGGTAAGTCCTGCTCATGGACAGGAATATGCTACTTGCTCCCCCATCTCTGCACCTCTTGGCATCGTGGCTCTGCTGCAGTACGGTTGGAGACCAAAGTGTCGCGATTGAGGAGAGGGATGTTTTTAAATGTTGGTCCAACCCAAGGAATATTTCTGAATACTTCTGCTGTCATTGTAAGTTACAGTTTTTAGATGTAAAAGGTTGAAAGAATTTCTGAAATGCTGCAGATTGAGGGGTACCTGCTACTGGAATCGTCCAGTCAGGGAGGTAATCTCATCTGGACTTTATCAAGATGTCTTCACAGGAAGTACTAGTGCACTTGTCAGACTGTGTTGCTGGCAGGTACTGAGAACTGGAAATTTGGAGGGAATTGGAAAACACAGACCTGTGAGGGATGGTTGCACACAGCACCTGTAGGTGCTTTAGTCCTTGCTCTTGGAAATTCGCTTCAGATAAATACAAACCTGAATTGAGTTGATTTCATTTCTCATGTGTTAAATATTACCTGCTGAGTTCACAGCTTGGCTTTATGATACTCTGTAGTGCTGCCTTATTGAACTTCAGGCACTCACAAGTCCATCTGAAATCATCACAGCTCTGTTTGTTTCAGTGAATGGTTCCCTGACTTCACTGGCCCATGGTGAACGTAGCTAAGCAAGCAACTACCTCTTTGATGCGTACTTGGCTTCTTCAGCAGTCCTTTTCTTGTATTTCCTTTGAACATTATGCTGCCTGCAAGCCAATAGAGTGGGCAGTGCTGGTCAAAACTCTTAATGGCATTCATCACCAGTGTCTATGAGCGAGGTTAATACATTTTGAAACAAGAGCAACAAAAAAAATCTTTGTGGTTGTTAAACATAGAATAGCTTTCAGTCCACCTATGTCCACTAGTATTTCACTGCCTTTGAAGTATTGCTGTTGGGACTTGATGAGCAAAACCTCCTTTTCTTAGAGGTACTATTGTCTACGTTCTTCACAAACCACACTTTGCTATCTCATCTGTTCTTGGCTGAAATATTTGGTATGTGTATTTCTCCTGGAAAAGGTTCAGACTTGTCCAGCATGTTGTGGTGCAGGTGTGGAACCTGCCCTCTTTTCCTGGTGTGCATTCCTGGCCTGCCTTGGTGAAAGCATAGTGCCAGTCCAGCACTCCTGTCCCGCCAGAGGGAGGGCTTTGGAGAGGCAGAGAAACATCTCCATTCTTCCTCTCCCTTTTTCCTTTCAGAGTTGAAAAGGAGAAAAACTCCTAAAAATTCAAAGTGCTTTAACAGAACTGCTGACTCAGCTCTTTTAATGTAATCTTTTCCTATTATGATTGTGCTAGGTAGAAGGAATAAAGTGAAGGCAAAGGAAAAAGATGTGTGAGTACTCAGATTTTCTTGGAGATTGCCATGTAATATTTTCTTTGAAAAAGTCCAATAGAAGTATAGCCCAGTATCTCTTGGTCTGGCAGTGGGAGCGACACCAGTTAGTCTTAAAAGCAAGCATCAGCCAATGTAATTTTTGACATGAATTAGTGTCTTGGAGCAAGTATTCTGTGCCTCATACTTTCACAAAAACTTCAGTCCAGAGAAAGTCTTCGTCCACTGAGACGTCGACCATCAAGATGATAATCCAGTGTGGGCTAACTTTCCAGTCCTGGCAAAGTCTAATGATGATCTGGGCTTTTTTTTTCCTCATTCCAGCTCCAATGAGTATATAAGGAAAATGATTTCTAAAATTGGCTCTAAGAAACAGAAGGAAGCTTAGAGCAAGAAATGAAACTTAATACCATTTTCTGGTCCAGACAGTCAGATGACTACAACAGGGATTACTTCAATCCAGGGATGAACTGTCTCTTTCCCATGCCTTGCCAGTCTTTAAGGACACGCGGCTTGTGCAGTTTGTGTTCTTTGTGGAGGAAACCTCCTGTCATTTAAGCTAGAGACATTAAAGCTTGTTCCTTCAGACAGAAGGGCTTGGGGCTTTTCCTTATTCTATTCATAAGAAGGAGTCTGATAAGAGGAGTTTGGCCTGTGAGACTGACATGATATTGAAAATGATTGTATGGTGAAGATACTTGTCTTCATTATTGCAGTATTTCTCAAGACGTGGTGTATTTTGTGTGGACTTGGCAGAAGCTTGGTTCTGTGGTTGCTCCCATAGGCAAACAGTTATTGTCCTCAAATTTTGGAAAGCAGAGGCAGGTTGGGTTTGTAAAGCAGCCTTGCTAAGGAGTCCTGGAGACTCTCATCTGTCTTCCAACATGGATATAGAAATAGTTTCATCATGCCAACATTGCTAAGGAGCAATTAGGATGCTGCACCTCAGTGATGGTTTCATGCTCCGGGCACAAGGGTGAAAGCTGACCATATGAGCAGCATCTCAACAAATAAAATCAACCCCAGCTTCCAGTTTGTTCTTTAACATTTGGTGAAGTGCTGGGAGTATAGCGTTCCTCATTGGCAACTCCTCTGACTGGAAAGCACAGCACACACTGCTGTGATCCCAGCAGTGGCTCATTGTAGGAAATGGGAGGATATTTCATATCTCCTTCTGTCTCTTTCCCTCCATACTGCTCTCTTTGTTTTCAATGCCACAGACTTTAAAGAGGTGACATTTCTACATGGGAAGCTTACTTGATATTCTTTGAGGGCTGAGCACTTTTCTGATAGAATCTTCCCTTCGAAAAACTCTGGGTTAGCATACAGTCACTTCTATGTGGCTCTGAGAACCAGAAATAAGTTGCAGGGGCTGTTCTCTGCAGTCTGAGGTCAGAGTGCAGCTTTTTGATGTTGTTTCAGGGCCATCTGATAAGAGAGGGGTTGAGTAGTCCTACAACTTCATACCTAAAGCTGAACTGCCTCAAGTATTACCAGATAGAGAAGCATATCCTAGCTATCTCTTCTTACATTGCTGAAGGGACACGCAGAGGAAAACATATAACTGAAATAACGTACTTCCCTTTAATTTAGTGGGGTTTCTACTTATAATAAGGGATAACAATGGGAAAGATACTTTTAAATTGTAAAGTTGTTTCTGTTTTCACACATCCCTTTTGCTGTCTATGTCTGCTGATGGGTGCTAAATAGTCTAGGCAGAAAGAAGCACCCTGACAGTCTTTCCTATGACTTCACAACATACTGCCTGCTGTAAGACCTTTCCTAGTATGTATTTCCCATGTTGGCATACTTGCTGTTTTGATGCAATTCACTCTATGTTTTAGATTGCTGGTGAAACCTGCAGGGATGAAAACCCTGCCAAGCCTGAAGTATATTTCTTTTCTTTATGGCAAAAGAAGAGGGCTAGACACCTTCTTATTTCTACTGCAGTTGGTTTTATTGACTCCCTGATATAGCCTGTTTTGTTTTGTTTTTTTTCCTTAAGGTGGAGGAGAGATTTAGAAAAACTAATCAGGGCTCCCCTGAAGCACAGTCTAAGCAGATGGGCAAAGTGTTGGAGCCACCAGTGCCTTCAAGATCAGAGTCCTTTTCCAATGGAAACTCAGAACCTGCTCAGCCTGCCCTGCAGAGGCCAATGGAGCCCCAAGTAAGTGCCCAGGAAAATACTGGTGAGCCTAGAAGAAGTCCTAACGTGTTTCCTTCACTTTTTCAGATCTTGGCACGTAGAAAGTCTTATGTAAAGAGTAACGCTCATACGCAAAGTAGCTTATTTAGTAGATTGACTTTGTATGTTTTTGCTAATTGTTTTGATCAAGGCGTAGATTTCTGCTTTGTTTTTAAAGAAAACTGTTATTCTGTTGTTGTCTGTGCAAGAGGAGAATAGTAGGCTAAATACTGGTCACAGTTGCAAAACACTTCTACAATTCAGAATTTGATCCATGCAAAATATTTGCTATCAAAAAGAATATTCAGGAAGGAAGTGAGCTGATATAGTCTTCTAAACTCTTTGGAAAAAAAACAAAAACAAAAACAAAAAAAACACTTTTAACAGAAGCAAAGCTTCAAAGAAATCCACAAAACATGACTAAGAAAAGCAAGTTTGTTGTCAGTAAGCTTATACTTGCTAAATAAAGCTCTGTTACCACCCTGGAAAATCAAAAAAAGGTTGAAACCACTGAGCTATGTGATTGCCATCATTCTGTTGTTTGCTAATGAAAACCTCCAGAACTTGGTAGCTATATCTCTTAGGAATTGCTGTATAAATTTAAAAAAAATCTGGTCTAAAACTTATAAATAACCTGTAAGTTCTGAGCAGTCGAGATATGCTAAATTAAAAGTGTGGTTCTATATTAAGCTCGTCTGTTTCCATGCAGAATTTCTTTCTCCCAAATAAGTCGGTTGATGACAGTGCAAGCTAAACCTGTTCCTGATTGTGACTAGGCATTGCAGCTCTTCTGGGTGACAGGAGAATTTGAGCAGACGAGAGAGTGGGAGAAATCAGGACAGAACTTCATCTCTGACTCATTAATTCCTGGCTTTTATTCAAACCTCTATGATTATTTCAAAGTACTGCACTTGTATTTTCATGCTCTCTGTGCCAGTTACTTTTAAAGTCTGGCCTTCCACTCACATTAAGAATAATCAGGCTCTTCAACAGCTGTGTGTATAAAAATTGAGGAAAGAATAACCCAATAAAAATACACACAACCAACCTACTGAAAATGAAGTTGGAAGTGAAGTTTTGATTAATTATTAGGTGCAAAGGCAGCGTGTTCCTCAGTTATGATCTTGTCTCCTCCTTGGCTTCAGAAATTAACTTGGAAATATGTGTTTATGCACAAGGAGGGAGTAGGCTGGAGTAGAGGGTCAGTGTGGATTTCAAGGAAAATCCCGAAGAGTTTTTACCTCTGGAGTCACTGCTGTGCCTTCTTAGTATCTGTAATTGAATATGTGCTTGTATATGTGTGTGTTTAGTTTGTTTATGAATATGTATATATGTACGGTATATGGTACATATATGGCATATGTATAATATGCATTGTCCATATGTATACTATATACAATAATACATATTATGTTTTTGTATATATATTGCAACGACTATAAAGGAATAAAGGCTTTTTTGTTATGGCCGTTCTCCAAAAGTTTGGAACTGTGTCTAGTTTCCAAATTTTTTAGACAATGTAAACGTCTGTTGGTTTGTACACTTCATGGCCTTCTTTAATTTTGTACGTTTCTTCAATTGGATCACCACTTCAAATTTCCCAAGCCATCGGTGCTGCCATGAGGGCTGGCCAAAGTCCGCTGAAGACTGGGAAGCAGAAGATGACTTCTGTCTTGGGTGGCCTTTGGCCCCAGGCTCATGGTGCAGATATTAGGTCCCCTTTTCTTTTGGGCACTAGTGTATGTGTATGTGGAGAGCGTATCTCACAAAAATGCATATGTGCTGTATTTTCAGTCTGTTACGTTCTTTGGGCGCTTGCCTCGCTTTTAAGTGCATTGATTCCACCCCACGCTTACCTAATGCCATAACAATTTGTCTCTGCCCACCCCACCTGCCTTTATTCTGTGTTAATTGGACAGCCAGTTATTCTGAGCGCATTGAATGTTTTATGTTTTGTTTTCTTGTAAGGTACAGTGGTCCCATCTGGCATCTCTCAAGAACAATGTTTCCCCTGTCTCGCGATCCCATTCCTTCAGTGACCCTTCTCCCAAATTTGCTCATCACCATCTTCGTTCCCAGGACCCATATCCACCTTCACGCAGTGAAGTGCTAAATCAGAGTTCTGACTCTAAGTCGGAGGTACCCGACCCTACCCAAAAGGCTTGGGCTAGATCAGACAGTGACGAGGTGCCTCCAAGGGTAAGGAGTAGAAAGACAGATGTATGCTGTTTCTTGATGATGATGATTTTTTTTTGAAGGATGTCGTAGGCTGGGCACTGGGAAGACCATGCCCTCATAACCACGGTAACAGCTTTTTAGAAGCAAGATCATCATGTAGATGTTCATTCAGTGGGCTAACAATAATGAACCTGAAGTACAATATTGAAGCTTCGTATAAAATTGACAATTATTTATAGAATGCAGCTATTTCAGAGAGACAATTGATTATGCAAAGTTAACAAATCATTACTGTATTCCAGAAAGAATTTAAAATATCCCTGAGGTTATTGCTCAGAGTTAATTTTCTTCTTCATTTGGTAGCAACCCAAACTGTGAATCATAGACATATTTGAAATTGAAATGGAACTGAACAAAAAGGAAACATTCAATATTTCCTCCTCCTCTCCCCATAAGCCCTTTCCATCCACTGGGATTTGCTTCTTCTAAGTATATTCCTGCTACACCACCAGTCTTTGCCTTCTGCTGATCCATTCCTGGGCATTTGTTTGGTTTCCCCTAAGCTTATTCTCCTGATTCTCATGCTGTTTCAGCAAATTGCTTTGTGCCTCCCCTGCTTCAGTCAAAGTGCTGTATTCTTTTCAAGTGTCTCAGTAGTTGGAAGGTAGTGAGGTGTGTATGTGTTTGCGTGGTAGTTATTAAGCACTACTTAACATTAAACTTAAGATTAAACTTCTGAGTTTTCTTCAAAATCTGAACAGCATTCCTATTAAGGTTTTGTGGGTATTTGTTTTATTGCTTTTGGTTGTTGATGCTAATTTGAGCATAGTCTAAGTGGTGTTAAAATCATAGTATATTCTGTAGCAGGAGAGATGTAATCTTCCTCTTCTTTCTCTCCTTTTCATGGATTTAACTCAGACTTTTTCCTCTCAAGGTACCTGTGAGAACAACATCCCGATCACCAGTTCTGTCCCGTCGTGATTCTCCACTGCAGGGCAGTGGGCAGCAAAATAACCAAGCAGGTCAAAGAAACTCCACGAGGTTTGTCAGCTTGTCTATATCCATGCCTTCCTGTGTTTATGGGAAGCTAGAATTTTTTTCAGAGTTTTTGGTATACCTGTTGGATGTGAAAGGAAGAAATGGTCAGTTTTTTACCGTTACCAGTCAGTAATGATTAATATTAATTTCCCTTGGTACTCCACATGTGCCAACAAACACTGGCTAAATTTCCTCTTGCCTCTCCTTCTCCGAGTTGCCTACCCTATGACTTTTGCAACAATTTCGAAGTATCCTTAGTATTACTGAAAAATGTGGCAATTGGTGAATATCATGCCTCCTGGAGCAACGGGTCATCTTGGGTTACTGTGGGGGTTGCTGGCAGCAGTAGTGTTTGTAAGATCTAAACTGAAGAGATCTGAGAAACTTTCCAACCTCTCAGCCAGAATCAGACTTGAAGAGAGGCAGAAGCAACCTTAAGCTTTAACATAGAACATTGGAGGTCAGGAGGGAGGAGAAAGGGATTGCTTTTGAATCTCAGCAAAGCAAAACTTGCTTGCTGGAAATGGGTGAGGGTATTCCAAAAGGGACAGGAATTTCCAGCTTTCTGGCTTGTGCTTGGGTGGCCAGGGCTCTTCTGAGCCAATTTAAAACCTGTTGCATCCAGCCTGAGAGATCCAGTCACTTTGGATTAGATATGTAAGAATGACAGGTAGGGAATTCCTAATAAAATGAAAAGCTTATACCTACATAAACATTTTGCTTTGGGCCATCTCAAATGAGATAATAGATATTTCAGAGGGAGTCATTGCTTGTGTTGTGAACTGTCATTGAGACAGACTCTCAGCTCAGTCTGAGGTGTTCTTATAGATCAATTATTAGCAGAACACTGGGGAAGAATGAAGTTTGAGTTTAGAAACAGAAATCTGAAGTGCATGACCAAGGCTTTTTTCACTCCTCTGATACAGCAATATAGAGCCTCGCCTGCTGTGGGAAAGGGTGGAGAAGCTCGTACCAAGACCAGGCAGTGGCAGTTCTTCAGGTTCAAGCAACTCTGGCTCCCAGCCTGGTTCTCACCCTGGCTCTCAGAGTGGGTCTGGCGAGCGGTTCCGGATGAGATGTAAGTCCTTCCTCCCCTACCAGAACACAGGGTTTTTTAAACCTGAGCCATGTAACACTCAGTAATGAAGGATTGTAACCATCACTGGGAAAGGCCTTTGAACTTACAATACTGGATAGCATAGTTTTCAAACTCCTCCCTTGTCAATGCATGCCTGCTTAGGAAAGAGAGACAATACAAATATGTCAAGGAACAGTGAAACACTTTCCGTGTTCATTCACTGCTACATCTCATGATGCATATTGTCTCTCACTTTGGTGTCTTTTGAATGGGTGCAGTCCTCTAGGGATGGATCTCAGGTAGGGGCACATTAGATGCCGATCCACGTTATTCAACTTGTGGCTTCAGTCAAATTATGCAGATCCAATCACCTGCAAACCCAATTCATTGTGCAAAAGAGATGGTATCTGCAACTACTTTCACATTTGTGTGACAATTTACACTTACAGGTCAGCTGCACCTATAAAGATCAGAGTTTAGGAAGAATTTTTTGTAAAGTCGTTCAAAGAAGATGTAATGATGAACCAGTGAAACTGATGTATTGCTGTCACATGCTGCCTTAATAGCTTTCTCAGCTCTCTTCTTCACTCCAAAGTGGGATAAGAAAACATATTTTACCTTCTTGGTGAAACCCCTGTTTTGTTCTGTTTTTCTTCTTGGAACATACAGCATCATCCAAATCAGAGGGTTCACCATCGCAGCGTCATGAAAGTGCACCTAAAAAGCCTGAAGAGAAGAAGGAGGTCTTCAGACCTATCAAGCCTGCTGTAAGTTGCACCTGCTTTCTCCTGTCCTCCCTCATGCTTAAGTAGTCCCCCAAAATACTGTGTGAATTTCCATTCATGGTGTCATCGAGGGCAAACTTCAACTTCAGCTGGAGTTTGTGTGGGCCTGGCAGTAAGTTCTTGGCTATGCAATTGCCTTTATGCATCCCTTAAACAATAGAATTTGTTCTCTCTTGGGAATTGATTTCTTCTCTCTCATCTGCTTCCTTCCTAACCTTCATATTCTCTTTCTTTCAATCTTGTGTTTCCTTGCTGTGACTGGACCAATGATAATGCATTTGACCTGAATGTACCAATGCTGTGCTGAATGGTGCAGGGAGAAGTGGTAAGACCTTAAAATGTTGCTGTTTCCTCTGAAAATTTTCTAATGTTTCCTTCATCTGGTTGCTGCTATGGTTAATTAGAGTTTTATGTGTGCTGGGGTTCACAGGAGGTTTTTGCAGTAATTCCAGCTTTCCCTACAACTTCTTTCACTTGCTGTCATGATTCTGCACTGGCACCCAAATCTCTCAGTTAGAGCTGCTCATTTAAATAAACGAATGCAGAGAATGAGAGGTTGGTCCTTCACTTCTGGTGTATAATATGTGAAGTATTTGCCATAAACCATATTAATCTAAATAAATCATAGCTACACAGTTAAGCTTGCGCTGACCGTAAACCTGTTTTATCCACACCCCAAGCTCCTGACAGGAAAGCTGCTTATGTCCCATGCAGTTGTGTGTGACTGAGTTAGCGCTGAAGAATCTGACTGCTCAGGTGAACTTAGAGCAGATCCATGAACCTGGACATGAGTGAAAAGGTTTAAAGGTGATCAGCTCTGTGCAACTGGTCAAATACACTGTGCCTTGGGTGGCTCAGTAACTCTTAAACTCCTTCTGCTATCTTGTGGTGGATGCTATTGACCTGCAAAGTTAAAAATGAACTGCAGCAGTCAACTGCTGAGTAAAAGTAGATCTGGATGCTTATGTAAGTCTTTCATATGATATAGTGGAATAAACTGAAGTCATAACGAAAATAGTTTAGACTTAAATCAAAGGAAACAGTACTGCCATGGAAACACAGCAGTGGACAAGTGAGTGAACTTCGGCACTAATTCACTGCCTTGCAAACTCTTCTCTGTTGACTGCAACACAGTTTTTTTCCTCCTTTTCCCATCAGGATTTAACTGCATTGGCAAAGGAGCTGCGAGCAGTAGAGGATGTGCGACCTCCGCATAAAGTGACAGATTATTCGTCCTCAAGTGAGGAGTCGGGGACAACAGATGAAGAAGATGATGATATGGAACAAGAAGGAGCAGATGAATCCACTTCTGGACCAGATGATGTCCGAGCAGTGTTAGTTCTGTGTTTTGCTTCTGTTTTTCCTCTTAGGGGGTTGAAGGAAAAGAACATTGGACATTTTGGCTTGTGCGTTAGTTCTGTCAGCTTACAGCAACCTATGAACAAGGCATAGCAGCCTTGTGCACTCAAATTCCAAAAATCTTTTCAAAATCAAGCTGGGCATTTAGGAACCGAGTTAACAGAGAAGTCTCTTTAAGTTATTTCTCTAAGTGAGAAATCAGTTTTGCAGCTCCTCAAGAAAGTGCTGTGGGCCCAGAGTGAAGTAGGCTGGACTGCACTTCTACATGTAAATTATATCCTTTCCCTCTTCTCTGTTTGGATTTGTAGTTTTAGCAGTGTTTAACAAATTTCTAACTTTTTTTTTGAGAGAAGCTTTTGTAGGCAGGTTATGTAAATATTCCACCCTGGACACAATCTCAAATTCAATTTTGACTGTACCTTGGTGTGGAGAGTTAGGACACAAATACTCTTATCTCATCCTGATTATTTTTTTATCTGGCAAATAGGTCAACACTGAACTTGAGCAATGGTGAAACAGAGTCTGTAAAAACTATGATTGTCCATGATGATGTGGAGAGTGAACCTGCCTTGACTCCTTCTAAGGAGGGCACCTTAATTGTCCGACAGGTATTGCTTTTCCTTCTCTGTGCAGTGTTGCACCTTTTCTGTGCTCATTAACCCACTCGCTCATTCACCCATGCTGTTTCTACATTATATTCGTTGTTCGTATTATCAAGACACAGCTCTAGTGAATTTCAGATGAGCAAGGTGTTTGATGCATGCAAAGAGGAGAGTAGCCCTTCACCCTTTGCTACTGTTTTGCATGCTTTCCAGTGACACCCATGGCAGCACCATGTAGAGTAGCTCAAAGCCTGTAGGAAAGAATGGTAGAGAAGCTGCAGGTGTGTGGAGCTGGTACCTGAAGCAAGAAACTTAGTTTAGTTTTACCATGGAGGCAAATGTGACTCTCAGGAGAGGGGCTGGGAGGGTGGCTGGAGGGGAAGTATACAGGGCTGTAAAAAAATTCTTCTGTAGTTGAGGGCATACAGACCACCCAGATAGCACACACACTCTCACACACACAAATTCATGTGGGGGAATAGAGAAGCAAGAAGATGGTGAAGCAGAGAGTGTGGACAGAGCTAGAGCGTTGTGGTGTTGCTTTTAATTGTGAAAATATTGCATTCGTGTGCCTGTGAAAGATAACAATTCCCTGCTATAAATGAGCTTATGTTAATGAGCATGTTAGCTTATAGGAGTTTCTCCAATAATCACATTTTCCGAATTTCACAATTGAATGCCAATTTCTCCATTGAGCCCTCTGGTTTGAAAATCAAGATTTCATGCTTATTGTTTTAAATAGTTAGATAAAGGCATTCACCAGACGGTCAATTTTCATATCTCTGTAGGATTTAAGTTAGTTTTAAACAAAACAATAGGGGAAGAAATCCTCCCTCGCCCCCCAAAATGTGCTTGTCTGCATTCTGGTGGAATACTTACCAGTGCAGTTCCTTTCACATTAATTTCTAGAACTGCCTGTGCAAGTCAACCACACAAACTAAGCTTCTGCTGCCAGAAAAGGTGGGAATTTGCAGAATTGAGGTAATGCTGCCCACTTTCCCCTTTAATCCTGATGTCAAGGCATAGATTGTCAGCTAATTTAAAAACTAAATGTAAAGAGGTAGGAAAGAGTGAGGGAGAGGAGAGAGGTTGTTAGAGATATAGACCTTTAAGCAGCACTTGAGCAAGACAAGTGTGCCTGTTTTCTCTACAGAGTACAGTTGACAAAAAGCGTGCCAGCCATCATGAGAGCAATGGCTTTGCCGGTCGCATTCACCTCTTGCCAGATCTCTTACAGCAAAGCCATTCCTCCTCCACTTCCTCCACCTCCTCTTCCCCATCCTCCAGCCAGCCGACACCCACCATGTCCCCACAGACACCCCAGGACAAGCTAACTACTAATGAGGTATGTCTTACACCACAGCTGGCTGCTTTCGTAGGGCTGTAGCAGCATTGCCTAGTAGCTAGTTTGCAAAGGAACTCCAGCCAATCTCCCCTGCTTTTTTTTCTGTCACCTTTATTCCCACCCCCAAAATAACACATTTCAGTTCTCTGTAAGAAGCCCTTAACTGTAGAGCAGTCCTACGCCAAACTTGCCAGTTTACTATTTTTGCTTCCTCTTAGTGAGTCATTAATTGCATGGCGTTTGTTTTAATCTAAACTTGACTGCTGCATTTTCTAGACAATATTCTTTATTTTTTAATTCTGTTTTATTCTGGGAGAAGGCTGATTGTGAGCAGAGTGCCTCTTAAAAAATAGCAGTTAATTTTGCCTTTGTCAATAGAGGCTGGGCTAGTAACTGTGCACATATAAAACTGCTTGTGGAAGCTCACCCTTGGGAAGAGAAAGCCACCGTGGAAGGATTTTTAAAACTTACCACGTGGGCTTGGATGAACACATCAGGAGGCTTTAAAATCCTTAGGTATTATTGCTTTGGAATAATGAATGAAGAAAATGTTTGTGCTCTGAAATGCAGCTGTGTAAATGTGCCCTCTACCAGCGCTGCTTGTGTCTGTTGGAGAACCAAGGCTTTTCTACTGGGGGAGCTCCCTCTTGCTGTCCTGGGCTAGCCCCATGGCACTGATAGAAGCAGTGCCTTCCTTCAGTCGCCAAGTGCAGCTAGACAAGCCCTGCCCTTCACGTGTGTATGGTCCCTCGAAAGTAGAGGAGATGCACGTGTATGAACAGAGGGCACTGTTCCCCCCTTAATACCTCCAGCAGTCAGTCAGGATCCCAGCGTGGCTGCTCAGCTCCCACTGGGTGGCCAACTGTTCAGGGAGAGCTTCTGTGCAAACAAGGGTGGCACAAGGGGAGGGAAACTTGTGGAGAGAATCAGCTGCTTCTCAGTCTTAGAGCCATCCTACCCTGTAGGTATAGAAGTGCTGGGATGGGAGGAATGGACTGCAATGAGTTGGGTGGGCCCTTGGCAATGCACATTTTTACAATGGATTCAAAAATGCTTCTGAACCCCGTAACAGGAGGGTGGGTGGGAGGGTTTCCTCCTGGAAATTCAGTTAGTGTAATATTTCATTTTCAGTTATGCTTCATCTGCCTTTGATCTGTGTAAAAGCACACTCATGTAGGTTACAGAGATCAGGCAATGGATCCACAGATAGGCTTGTCCCTTCCTTTGATCCGAGCAATAAATGTGCAGGGTTTGGTTAACTCAGCCTGGCAGGCGGAGGCAGTGGCAGTGGCTGGTGGTGAAGGAGCCTCTTGGTATTTAGCTGTGCAGGGGAGTGATGTGCTCATAAGACCCATTGCTATTTTTTTGTGCAGAGTAGAGGCTTGGAAGGATCAGAGATTGAAGATTAGTTGTTGATGATGAAGTCTCTAACTATATTTGCATAAGACTGAGCAAAAAGCCCAGTACTGCTTGGTATAACTCACCCACATGCACACCCTTTATGTACATAATACATATATATTTTTACTTGTCCCATTCTGCTTCAGTGTGCAATGTTGTCACTTTAATACTAAACTGACAAGAGTCTTTAAGTTGTTCCATTTCCACTTTTAACAGTTCATTGTTTCACTTGTCTTCTTCCTTTCTTTATGTTTTTGTTGTTTTTTTTTTTCATGTTTAGACCATATAACTCAGCAAGCACCAGTGATTTTATTCACTACATATTCATAGCTCCATACCACCGTTTGCTACACCTTCCACACTAATGAGCCCCTTTGTTCAATACAGGTTTATATTTTGCTTTGTTAAATAAAGGTGGAAGAACCTGCTGCAGCTTTCTGGCAAGAGGCTCAGGTTAAACAAAATAGGGAGAGCAAATAGCAATGGACAGTGAAACATAAACCATCACAGAAGTGAATGCTTGATTGCATATGGTTCTGATTTTGTTGCACAAGCCAAGAGGTGGCATTTCAGAACTTATTTCATAACTAGCTCATTTTAGGAAGTTCTTCATACATACTGAAGTTGAGTATAGTGGAGAGCTTTAAGATAAGGTAGTGGACATCCATTTAAGCAGATTTTTCAAAAGGAGGCATTCCCTCCTTTGTGCCTGATCGTAGGGGCCACTCAAAAAATCTTTGCTAGCAACTGAGGTGACAGAGATGAGGATTTAGCTACTTGCATTTTGCTGTAACATGTGCAGTGTGTACATGTTCAGTTGTGGTGCCTGCAGTGCATTATGTAACTGTAAAGGAAGTGTAAAAGCTTGGGGAGGCTCTGTAGTGACTTTATAATGTTGGTTGTTGTTGTCCTTGCTTTTTATTGTCATTAATATTAATAAAGTTGAAATTTACATTGCAGACTCAGTCCGCTAGTAACACACTCCAGAAACACAAATCTTCCTCCTCCTTTACACCTTTTATAGACCCCAGATTACTTCAGATTTCTCCATCTAGTGGGACAACTGTGACTTCTGTGGGTAAGTAAAATAGATGAAGATGACAACTGAAAAGGGGTTCAGTTACTTCAGTGGCTCTTTAAAGTACTGCGAGTGTTACCATCATGCTTTTTATTTTATTTGCAGTGGATTGCATAGTTTTATTTCTTTTTCCATTTACATTTCTTACAAAAAGAAAGGCTTGCTCAATATTCTCAGTTATCAATTTGGGTTGTTTGATGTGAAGAATATATGGCCAGAATCCATCACTTAAGGGATACTACATGCACTTTACTTTTCTTTTTTTCAGTAGGATTTTCTAGTGAAGCAATGAGATCAGAGGCAATAAGACAAGACCCAACACGGAAAGGATCAGTTGTCAACGTGAACCCTACAAATACACGACCACAAAGTGATACCCCAGAGATCCGCAAATACAAGAAAAGATTCAATTCTGAGATACTGTGTGCTGCCTTATGGGGTAAGGAAAACCTGTTCCTTACTTGCCTCCTGCAGTGCTGAAGTGCAGACATGCTATAATGACCCTGTGGTCTTTGAGGACCTCTCTCTCAAACCTTAGGCTATTTGTTTGCAGTTTTTCAGTGCTTGTGTATATCTTTTCGCTGCAAGATCTGATTGTTTTTATTACAGTTTTGCAAAGTGTTGCTTCTGCTTTGATACAATTTTTTCTGTATAAAAACTTCCAATGGTAGGAAGGAAGTTCAGACTTCACTCAGCTCTCTCTAACCCCTTCTAGTGCATTTCCTACAGCTTTTGAGAAGCTTTGAGGAGCTTGTGACGATCTTTTCATATTACACCTGGTACACACAGGGTATTAAAATAACCATCTTGATGCTGATACCACAGCGCTTGATGAAGATGTGTTTCATAAGATGACTTTCCACCTCAGTCATCAGATTATGTAGGAAGAGAAGCGTAGGAGGAACACTTTCCAGCATGGGACTTGGCTTTGTTTCTTGTAAGGTGGTTAGTGGCATGGAGAAGCTGAGTGATAGGATATCAGCTGACCCAGCATGTCTGACCTTATTACAAGGGCAAACTTTTAACAGTTTCAGACAGTTAGTCAGTATCCTGTGCTGGTGAGAGGCTTAGGGCAGTGCTTGTTGCCTGCTACCATGTGAAACCGCTGCTACAGTGCCAGGCTAAAAGCTTTTCTCTATTGCATAACTTATCTGTGAGGCCACCTAGATGTTAAGAAGTGATCTTGTATATGTTACACAGATGTCTATATAGTATTCTTAAACTGAACATGCTATAAATACATATGCATGTAATTTTAAAGACTATGAAGAAGAGATGTGGCCAGTCCCCAGAGTCACATGATGAGTGTATAGGTAGGACAGGTCACTTTTCTTCTTTACATTTTCACAGCTCTTTGCAAGGTTTCAGTTATCTTTTGAGGTTATTTCCAGCATTTCTTGTTTTTCAGAAAAGCATTGTTGACCTTTCCCTATTGCCTGCAAAGCCATGTCAGTTAAATAGCTTTTCTAACACCTTATCCTCTTTCTATCTCCGTTTTTCCTTATTTTTAGAGTTTACTGGTAAGAATTTTTACTCCCATGCTACTTCTGCATGTATTCATATGAATAATTTTCTGGTAAAACAAGGAAACTTGTGCAAGTGTTAGCTTTCAGACTCTGAGAGGCAGAGAGAAGTCATATGGGATCAGTAAAGATGACTCATAGTTTCTCTGATCTGGCTTGTTTTGCCAATAGCAATATGTGTTAATGGTTTAATATTTCTTTGATCTATATATCTGACTGTTACGGTGATTTAAAATGTAGGTGTAAAATCTGAGATGTTTTACAGCTGTAACAAAGCACTTCCTTGTTGAACATTTATTGCTGAACTGATGGTGGTCCAAGCTTGATGCACATACTTATTTCTTGATAAGTTCTAGCTTCCTTTTCCCTTAAGCAAATGAAGTCATTTTATAATGGTATTATTTAAAAATAAGGCACTTGCTTTGCTTTGTTTTGTTTTCCTTTTCCAGTGCTAATACCAGTGTCTGGTAAATTTCTGGGTGTTTTAATTCTGTGACAGTATTTCTAATGGCACTGAGTGGTGAAAGTTAATGATACGGATGTAGTTGCATGGATTTTTATGCCCAGCCTTTGCAGGGGCCCTGTGCCTATTCAGGAAACATTTCCATGTTTGAGAAATCAGAACTGTTTTATCGTAGAGTGGAGGTAGAAGAAGAGCTCGACTGGCTGTGAACAAAGGCAATGTCTGCACTTTAAAATACAGGCACTGTTTGCCACCAGCGTGGTACCTCATTAGTTTCATCCTGATACAGCTAATGAGGAAGGAGTTTGGGATTGGCGCACATGTCAACCCAGAGCAGGGACAACTGTGATGCAAAGGCAGCAGAGGAAGAGGTGAGGGTGGAGGCAGAAGCGCCTGAGTCCTGATATGCAAAGAGAGAAAGGGACTGAGAGGCAGCAGTTTGTGTGTGATTTTGTTGTAACTATAAACCACAGTGAATAAGAGTAAAAAATATGTTTTAGAGCTGAATCACTTACAGCTTTAGTTGCTCAGACCTGGAGCTGCAGGAAAGAGGCTGAGAGGTGGGTGTTTCCTTAGCCAGTTTGGTGCTCCTGCACCGTGCCTCACTCTTCCTGTATCCTTCCTCCACTTATTGGTTTGAGGATGCGTCCTAGTGTGGGAGATGGGAGATTTGAAATACACCTGGGGGTGTGCAGTGGGAGCCAGCAGTTTCAGTCCTGTGTAAGGGCTACATAGGAGGGCGGGAAGAAGACAGTGGAGGGGCATCAGTAGCTAAAGGAAAGTGTGGAGATAGGCTCTGTGCTACTTGTGTCCATGGGCTCTCCTACCTTGGAGGGGGTAGAGAAACAACAGAGCAGCACATTTGAGCAAGGAGAGGTGATTGTTTCTGGGGACTGCTGAGCCCTCTGAAGTTTACTTAGAAAAATCATAGAGTGACTTGGGGTGGAAGGGACCATAAAGACTGCCCAGTTCCATCCCTCGTGCTGTGGGCAGGGCTGCCCCCCTCCAGTTCAGGCTGCCCAGGGCTCCATCCAAGCTGGCCTTGAGTGCCTCCAGGCATGGGGCACCACAGCTTCTCTGGGCAGCCTGAGCCAGTGCCTCACCGCCTTCTGAGTAAACAATTTCTCCCTAACACCCAATGTAAATCTCCTCTCTTTAGTTTAACACCATTCCCTCTATCACTGTCTGTCTGTGTAAAAAGTCAGTCTTCCTCCATGTTTATAAGCTCCCTTTAAGTACTGAAAGGCCACAGTGGGTCTTCCCACAGCCTTCTCTTCTCCAGAATGAACAAGCTCAGCTCCTTCAGCCTCTGCTCAAGAAGAGGTGCTCCAACCCTCTGACTGTCTTTCTTGTTCTGGGGGTCCCAGACCTGGATGTTATGCTCCAAATGAGGCCCAGGATAAATTTGAAAGAGTCAAGAGAGAGGAAAATGGAGATGTATAACGATGTGTCACTCCTCCATTGTCTCTCTTTTCCATCCAGAGGCTTTTGAAAGTGCCCCAGCTCCATCATCACCTCCTAGCCGTGGCTCTGCTCCCCCGTAACACTGCATCCCCCTTGGGAAATGGTGCACCATAGGATAGGGTGAATGTTCCCTTCTTTTTCCAACTCCTCCAACGTGTGATAGTGAGGGTGATGTTTAGGTGGCTTTCCACATGCCTTGGAGGTGGGCAGTTTTGATGAGTAATGTGCTTCTTCAATGCTTTGAAAAGGCAAATGATTGCTATAGACTCAGGCTATGCTCAGATGCAGACTCCCATGGGTCACATGCTGCATTAAAAAGGGTTTGTTATGTGATCAGTTGGTGTATGACCATTGGCACCTGTGTAGCTATGTCTACAGATTGTCTGTCCGGAGATTAAAGCACTAAGCAATATAATTATGATTATCTTCTGTGAGTTTTTGTCTTTTATTGTTTCATTATTTTACTATGTTTAAGGATAGCAAGTTTTACATTGAGATTGCAACAGAGAAGTGTAATGGAAATCAAACCATGCATGTGGTTTGCTTTCCATTCCCTGTACTATATTTGACCTTCCTCTGCACGATTTGTGGGCTCTGGGACTGAAACGCCGTAATAATTATTGAAATTATTGAAATTTATTATCATAAATTATTAAATTTATGAAATTTAAAAGTAATTACATATTAATAGATTTTAAAGCCTTTTGGTATGATGTATGTGTATATGTATACATATACACAAATAGAATGCAATTGGCTTTAAGCACTAAGGTTCCATGTACTCTTAATAAGGTTTCCAGTGGATGTGTGTACCTTTGTAAAAAGAAGCTGACCTTCCTCATTTATAATCGCTTGGCCTTTAGGAGAAATGGATGGAAACACAATATAATTTCTCTAGATTTAACATTCAGATGGAAAAGGTTGTTGGGAAGATGAAGACCAGCCCAGTGCCTGTCTCTTTACCAGGAGGGCTGCACTACAGTCCAGTCCTCCTAATAGAGCCAAAGCCAGTGCTTTTTTTGTCCTTATATACTGCATCCTGTTACCAACTCCCCTAATCAAAGCTAATACATCCTTCAGAATATATAACCTTGGGTACTCAGTCATGCCTCACCCCCCCATCTCCAGTGTTAGTGAGACTTTTTGTTTGGGAACTGATACTCCAGAAAGTTCCTCATGATCTTCCAGTCTCTCACTCTCTTCTACACTGTAATTTGGTGTCAGCAGTCTCTGAGTGCAGGTAACATACAGCATGTAGAGGTCATTCAGGTGTGATTAGACTTGCTTGAGACAAGGCAGTTGTTATGTAAAGGTATAATTTCATCAGAGCATATGGAAAATCTGTCTACTAACTTAGATCTTTTTGTTTCATCTAGGAGTGAACTTGTTAGTGGGCACGGAAAGTGGTCTGATGCTGCTAGACAGAAGTGGTCAGGGGAAGGTTTATCCACTCATCAATCGAAGAAGATTCCAGCAAATGGATGTACTTGAAGGGCTAAACGTCTTGGTGACAATTTCTGGTAATGTTAACTGTTCTATGTGATTTTTCCTCCATGGCATGGCAAAAATCTTTTCTTGACAGCCTGTGTGTTGAGGGGGAAAGTCTTGACTTGAATGAAGTCAGTGGATTTTCCATCATTTTGCCTCTCTTGAATCTGCAGTTTGTTTCTAAGAGTGAATCATTTTCTCCATAGTACCCTGTGCAAGCTTGCCCCCTCTCCTTCCTCCTTTTAATATCTTTATAGGTTTGGAGGAAGCATTCTTTTGTCAGAGCTGTACGTTAATGTTTTGTGAAATTTGTAGAAGTGACATTCTACCCCCCCGCTGCAGTTACTTGCAACCTGGCCTCTTTCTAACCAAAACATTATTTGCTCCTGGAGTTTAAAGACAGTTTGTGTGTCTAAATATATATAATGATAAATGCTCTTGCAAAGTAGATAGTTGAGATTGACAAGAGAGAGAAGGAGAACGTGTGTGTCTAACGGGGTGTGGGGAGTGCAGTATTTGTGCAGTGTGGAAATTGCCATTGTGAGGAGGCAGCTTGAAGCAGCTTTTGGCCTTGCCTCTCACTGGATGCAAGTGCAGACGACTCAGCATTGAGAGATGAAGGGCGGTGGTGATTGCTGTGTTTATTTTGTGTGCACTGATGGAAAATGTGTTTTATAAAGCTCAAGGTTCCAGACTCCTTGGCTCCAAAGAGTTATTGCATAAGGTTATTCTGCCATTAAGTTACTTGATGTGGTGCACTATTAATCTTTCTTCACAGGTGGTGTTCAGCCATTTACTTTATTTTTTGTTTGGTTTGTTTGGGAAATGAGTCTTTGCTATGCTGTGCTATTGAGGGAGAGAATGTTAAATGACATGGACACTGTTCTGCACAGTGGGCCATGTTATTCATTGGAGCCACTAAAAATATTGTTGATGCTTCTGAGCTCATCCTACCCTGCTGGAATTCTCTCCCAACTCTTGTACAAAAGGACACGCAGCTAGACCATGTGTTAGATGTATCACACTAATACAATTGAAATGAGCCATGCCCGTGTTGGTGTTGTCATAGTTCTAAGCCCCAGCTGTGTTGTGAAGTGTTTAAAAAGAAAAGATGAATCAAGGAGGGTTTAAAAAAAGCAACCTGTCGTGTTTCCACAGTATGTTAAAAATACAAGCTACTTGAAAAGCATCATTTGATAGTTTATTCTATAGTAGGCCTTATAAACAATTCTATAGTAGACCTTATAAACAAAAGTACTGTATAATCCAACTTGTGCAAAATGTGTTGATTTGAACCATACTCTACACAAACAGAAGTGCCTGTGATTAAATCTTGTGTGTAATTGTTTTAGGTTTATTTATGTTTGCGTCAGTCACGATCTGAGAACCCCAACACATCCGTTTTCTTTGTTTCCTTCAGAACTATTGCTTCCTCTGTTAAGACACGCTACATTAACCCTTAAGAAACAGGCTGGTCTTGGTCTGTTTTATGGCTTTGTCTCCGCCCCATATCCTGCATTTTATGGGAGGATAGTGAAGTACAAGGCAGGAAAGAGGCATTTCTGCTCAGTCTACATCTCTCCCAGACATATGTTCTATCTGCTTTTTCAGGAATCAATATCTTTATGGTGTCAGTACTTGAGATATGTCACCGCACTGTAAGAAGTTGTGGTGCAGTACGGTTTTGAGGGGATTGTCACCTAAAATTTGCTTTTAATGTATACTCTTCTGAGTTTGAAAGCATGAAACCAATTGTTCCTGCAATATAGTTCTCAAATTCAAAACTTACCTTGACAAGAAAGCTTTTGGTACTGAGCTACTACAGCTGGTACAAGAAAACTGTGGGTCAAAGCTGGGTAGCTCATACTGTTGGGAAGCAAAAACATAGTTTTGAATGCTCAGGTAATATACAGTGCTGAGAGTCTTAAGAGTGCTGTAAGAGAGACTAGTGCATATAGAACATGCTCCATTTGTGGTTCCCTAAGTGTTTGTAAGCCCAACTGGCTGATCTGGGCTCTCGGGAATGTAGGGAAGGATGACGGTGTCGAAGAACTGGTTGGAATCTGCATGCTTGTTAATTAAAAACCACACAACAGTAAAAACAAAAACTCAATATAGGAAAGGAGGCTTTGCATTTGAAATGATGTCTGTGGGTGAACCAGAGCTGGGAGTTTTCGGAGTCAATAATCAGCTTATTTAATGGTTGGAGCAGAGTTTTCTTTCTTATTTCATAGCCATAACAGTTAGACAAGGGAAAAAAGAAGTTGCAGATATTTGAGAGCTGTTTAAATTGAGCGTTGTGGATTTACAAGCAAAAGGATCTAATTCCCCTCTCCAATATAAATATTAAAATCAGCGTAACTCTAAATACATGCATAACTATGTTTATTTAGCTGACCAGTTGTGCTCTTTTCATGTCAGCCTGCTGAAAGGCTGAGGAATTTCCTGTCCTGTGACTTTCCTTGTGGTCTAGACACTAAAACACAATGGGAACACACTTTAGATATTCTTCTGTTGTTGTTATGAAAATGTTTCCAGCTGGAGAGAAATACCCTGCTGCTCAGCATGTGAACTGGAAAAAAAAAGTAGCCACGTGCTGGGAAATTCCCATGTGCACTATTTGGTCTGAGTCTTAAGGTTTACTAAGCTATGGGGAAGCTAAAGTCATAGAAATAACTGGGAGATAATTTTTTCTCCCAATCGACTGGAACTTGTGATAGTTGTGTCCTGTGAGCTCTTCCTTGCCCAGAAGAACAGTGCTTTCTGGTCTGTACTCTTTTTTCTATTCCAATTTTTCTAAAAGGACCGCTGTAGCTGTCATTTGCAGTATTTTCATGGGAGGACCTTACTGCTCTGGTCCCATTTCCAGATCTCTAAGAGCTGTGTCAGCAGTGGGATTTTATCCCTTGTCAAATTTGATAAATATGAAGTCAAACAATAAATCGTATGTTCCCTTACTGCCAAATGAGCTGTCATGTTTGTAGTAGGGATAAACAAGTTCAGCATGATGTTGCTTCACATTCTGTTGGGTGCCATCAAAGCAAGAGAGGCTTTTTAAATTAAGGAGCAGATCCAGTAGTTGAAAACAGGTCTCCAGTTCCTCTTTAAGCTCAGTGAACAGATTTTCATTTTGTAACTGCCTGTTCTTTTCCCCATGCCTTTCCCCATCAAAGTAATCCCAAAGAAAATTTTTCAGACTGTGTCTTTTATAAGGAGAAAGCTGGAGTCAATGGCACAGCCTGTTTGCAAGCTGTGCATCTGCATGTGCTGCCCCTGCCTTCCCAGCTGCTTTTCCTGAGGAGCCGAGCTGTGTCAGGGGTCCTCTGCCATCAAGGCAAGGGCTAGGTGCCAGCTCTAGAATCCAGCCAAGAACAGCAGGATGCTCTCAATGCTCAGACCTCTTGTCCTGCTGTAACCTGTAATTCCTGATGCCGTGTGCTCATCCCCATCAGCTACTGGAGCACTGGCATGGAGCTTTTCCACCGACAAGCTGGGGCCCTGTGGGCATTTCTTATTTCTTTTCCTTGCACAGAGACTTCATGGAGCCTTCCATAGTGGTTCCTCATCAGAGCAGAGATGATCTCTATTCCTTGCCTCCAGCTTCACCTGCAGGACTGTGGTGGCTTTGGACAGCAAAGCAGCTGAAGGAGGAAGAAGGGGGACAAGCTTTGAATATCTGCACTGGAGCCACCTTCTTGCCAGTTCAGCCTGTGCTGTATTGGCCATTAGTTATTAAAGAATCAAAGAACCATAGAATGGTTTGGGTTGGAAGGAACATTAAACACCATCCAGTTCCAAGCCCTTGCCATGGGTATAATTGCCACTCACTAGATCAGGCTGCCCAAGGCCTGATCTGACCTGGCCTTCTCCGGGCAGCCTGTGCCAGTCCCTCACTGCCCTCTGAGGAAAGAATTATTTCTGAACACCTAACGTAATATTGCCCTCTTTTAGTTTAAAGCCATTCTTCCTTGCCCTATTACCATCAGATGATGTAAAAAGTTGCTCTCCCTCCTGCTTATGAGCTCCCTTTACTGAAAGGCCAGTGAGGTCTCCCCAGAATCAAAAAGAACTGATTAAGTCACTTGCTCTGCATTTGAGGCCTTTTCATATTGCGAGTTACATTCTGAGCAGTGTACAGTACTGTTCAGTACTGTTGTAAAGTGGTTAAATGCTGGAATGGTTTAGCACTGTTCTTGATGTACTTTTCCACCAGTTGAATGATAAACAGCCTTAGTAAAAACTTGATCACTTTGTATCTGCAGGTGGTGTAAGTGATGGAAATGTCCTGCTTGCTACCTGTGCAGAAGTTGTAACTTAACGTTCCCTCACCATATTCTTCTTTCCCATTGCTTCCTCCTTTCAAACCAGTCATACTCTCTTCTACTTGTGCAGATCATTTGGAGCCTCAAATTCTGCTTTGCTGTTCTCCTAAAGTTTTGTGCAAATAAGAATCGTTGAGGCTCAGCTGTTGCCTCAGTGCAGGAATCTGGTGTTTTTGTTGTAGGTTGATAACCCTGTTCGAGTAGAAGCTTTGTCCTAAGAACCAGGCAGCTAAGGAGTTTGTCATTTTGAGTATTTAGGTGGTATTACCATGCATCTCTGTCACTATCAGGAAAGCATATCTTTGGGTGGACTCTGGAGTGATGCTGGTGTGGACATAAATACTGCATGAGATCTCAGTGGTTGCAGCAGTTTCTCCTTCATTGTTCTTTTGTCTTGTTCTGTAGGGATTTCTGTTTGTCAGGGCAGGGTTTTTTAGCATTTACATTCCTCTGGAAATAAACCATTATTTCTCCCTTTGTGGCTAGGTAAGAAGAACAAGTTGCGAGTTTACTATCTGTCCTGGTTGAGAAATAAAATCCTTCACAATGATCCTGAAGTAGAAAAGAAACAAGGTTGGACAACAGTGGGTGACCTGGAAGGCTGTGTGCACTATAAAGTTGGTAAGTAACGAATGTATCGAGTTGTCGGATAAGAGCTGGCTGAGAAAGAGAATTGCAATGCATGTAGCTACTGGGTTTAAGATTTGTTTCTGACTGTTTTCTTTAGGCCGAAGGACAAATTTTCTGTTGAAACATCAGAATAGATAGCAAGCTATTGGGTTAAACCAAATATGAGATACTGGGCTGTAAATTGGTGCAGGCACAGATTCTCCATCTGCCTTCTTCCTGTTGTGAATGCAACTTTCAGTAGAAGGCTGATAGGGACAGCAGGGGCTTGTGGCATTTCACCACCTCTGTTAAACCCTGGAGATGACAGAGGGACTCTTGTCAACCAGCAGCTGCTCTCTCTACCAACAGGTTTCCCTGTTATTTTATCATGCTGAAATCAAATTCTGGAATGGAGTGAAAAACATCTCATTTTTAATGTAGATTTTTAAGACTGGTGGAGAAAAAAAAGAAGAGTGTGGGAGGAAAAAGCAAGCCCAGTTAGTGCACGAGCTTTGGGGAGGCATCTGGGAACAGAAGCATATGTTTAACTTCAGGATGATTCATTGATTCCCTTTAGCTCATGAACTTTCCTAATGCTTTCTCAGATCCACTGCAGTACAGTTGTGGGATTATGGGGATGAAGTGTGTTTTCACTACGAAGGCACCTTTTGAGTGCCCTTAAGTTGCTTGAATGGATTTGGCTGTAGAAGCTTCCACAACAGCTAGTCAAAGACACATCACATTTTTGCCATGTGCAGTGAGCCTGCTGCCCTGCAGGTGGGGATATGAACAAAGAGCTCTTCCTTATGCTCAGTGTCCTGATGCATCTTAATGGACCCCGGGTGTTGCATTTGGTTTGGTTTTCCCCTAAGAGCCAGTTCAGTTCCTTTCAAGCCCTGTCAGTCAGTGTAGAGCAGCAGCAGTCAGACTGAGCTGTTTCTTTCTGTCATGCACGCGCTCTTGCAGAAGAGCATAATCAATAACTATTGCAGTAAGTGACTGCTGAACCTTGAGCTTGACCCCAAAAACAATTAATAATGTACTTCTCTAGTATCATATCCCTGGGTGTCAGCAGCATAATGAAGTGGTCTGTTAACAATACATTAACAGCTATAGAAAGGAGGCTTTCCAGTAGGGAAGCGTGAGAAACAAAGAGCATTCTTTTCCAGATGAAGGGTGATTTGTTGCAGCCTGGCACTGAACTTCCCTCTGAGCTGAAAACACACAGTAGACTTCTTCAGGTAGTGAGAGGCCCCTTTGGCAGCTGTGCCTCAGTTCCCAAGAAGGATGAGCCCTGTGAATAGTTGTGCTTACAGACTGGAGGTTGCCAGTGAGGCAGCTGGCACTGGTCGCTTCCTTGTCTCTTTGATGCAGTGGCATTTCAGACATCAAGCTGAAGTGGTATTTATGGCTCTCAGTTGCTTCAGGCAACTTTTGGCTCCTCTCAGTGATTAATCGCTCTTTTGAAACTTAAGATTTGGGTGAATTCCCAGATAGCACCCAGAGCAAAGAGTGAGGATTATCAAAGGTTTCCTTTCAGAGATAAGGTGATTTTGTTCAATATCCCCTTCTTCCCCAAGAAAATATTCCAAGAAGTCTTGCAAGCCAGACAAGACTGAACAAAAGCTCTATTTTTCCATCGGTACAGCTGTGGAGGTTGAGAGGCTTTTTTTGTCTGCTGAAGTGTCAAGTCTTCTAACACTTAAAGCTCAGTATTCTTGCTTCCCTGCAGAATAAAAGGGGGAGCAAGTAATAGCTTTGTCTCCCTCCTGCCTACCAATAGATTGCAACTGCAGGCTTTTACAGTAGGTAAGATATCTGAAATACGTTAAATAGTACTTACTAAAGAAATGTTCTTCTCACAAGTCTGAGATTCTTCGCTTCAGCCCTATTTCAAAATCAATTTTAGTTAGGAGATAATAATGGCAGGTGGAGATGTAGGGACTTACTCATTGTTTTCAAAAAGCATTCCACTCCTAATACTTGAAGAGATAGAGAAAGCCTCCTGAGATAAGTGTAATCCAAATAATGTTCTTTTTTCATTCTTCTCCTCCAAAAAGAGCACCAGAAACAGGTTAACAAACCTCAGTATTCTAAAAGTCCTCACAATCTCTTCCTACACAAATGAAAATGGCAGCTGCAAATGCAGATCCAGCGACACTAATTGAATGGCAATTTCTAAACGTTCAGTTCCCTCCTACGAAAATAAAATAAAGCAGTAGTAAACAGAGCTTTTTGAGATGGTTACATTTGCCAGCTGTTTGACTGGGAACAGAAAGATAGGCAAGAATTTGCAAGTCATCCATGTCGTGACCTACGTTAATTCTGATCAATTCTGTGATTATTTTTTAAGTCTTTGGTGTAGTTCTTGCTTGAAGCATTTTGTGGCTGAAATGCTACAATTGTTGCTTTTGTCAAATGAGGAAAAAAAAGAAAAGATTGCAAAATGTTGTTGTTTCTGAACTGTTCCTGAGAAACTCCTGACTCCTTAACACCTCTAAAAACTTCTCCATTCCTTAGGCAGGAGGTAAAATTTGTCACCAGAATTGTCACTAAGGTGACTTGAGCTCATGTTTTACTTGAGAATTAGAGGTAAGGTCAGTTGGAGACAGCTTAGGTAGTACAACTTGTTTGCATTTGGTCAGCTACCTGTTTCCTTTAAACTGTCATCTGAGGAAGGGCTTTTTGTCAGCCACCTACTTATTTTCTGTGAAATTTTTGATAACAGTTTTTCTTTTGGGCAATGAACAACAAAAAAGCCACCTTTTGTTTTTTGAAATGGACTCATTTCTCAACTTTTCACTTCAGTTCCCTTTTTCCCCTCCTTTTCTCTGGGGAATTGTTCCATCAGCTCAAAATACCACTCCCGGTGCTGTGATTGTGATTGCCAATACACTACCACAGTCATTGGCTTCTTTTATTGGAAACATCCCAGCCTGAAAACTGTTTTCTTGATGAGCTAGCACAGTCTAATGTGGAAAGAAAAGTGTAAATAAATGTGTACTGGCTAGGTAATAGAAAGCGTGATGACAGGTTCAGTTACTGACAGGAGTAACAATTTTGGTGGTATAAATGTGTCAAAATACTTAGCTGCTTAGAAATAGCAATTCTAAAATGAAGCATTAGTAAAAACCTTCAAACATGTGTAAATATGGGGAACTAGCGTCGCTTTCCAATTACTGAATTAATTTTTGTTTTGGTTTAATTTCAGTAAAATATGAAAGAATCAAATTCTTGGTAATTGCATTGAAGAGTTCTGTGGAAGTCTATGCATGGGCACCAAAGCCATACCACAAATTTATGGCCTTTAAGGTAACAGTATATTTCAGCCATCTGTTGGGTTTTCACATATTGAGTTACAGTTGCCCCTTTTACAAAAGTGGTGTGACGGACGTTTTGTCACGGCTGTGGTCCAGCTTCTGTGGTAAATCTGCCTTGAATTTCTTACATTTTCAGTTACGGATGAGGGAGGGTTGGCTCTGAGAGGCATTGTATTTAGAATGCTGAATTGCAACCATGCATAAATGAATGTTCAAAATGACACAAAATCACAGCAGTTTGTATCCTTGCTATAAATAAAACATGAAGCCAAGAGAAGCGAGCTGAGTCTAAGCATCTTCATGTGAGCAGAAGATGTCATTAGATTATGTTCAGCTTTGTTATCTTTTGAATACAGCAAGAATGAATTTAGCTGCCTCGGTGTAATTACCAAACTGATTTGCAGACAATCAGTTACTGCCGGTTGTGCAGATTGAAGTAAATGCTCCAGGAGTATCAAATTGCTCTCGCGAAAGTTCAAGGTGATTCTTACTGAAAACAAACAGACGACAGTAAACCCCAGGGAATAGAGTGTGTAGTATTACATGATTGAAATGCAGCAGGGTGCTGAGCGATCTCTCCTTGTCTGTGGAAGATGTTAGCTTCTAACTGCTCTGGTGGATGGAGCAAAGGCCTACTGGAGAAGTAGACTAATCAATTGTGCATTAACAGCATGCTTTTATAAAACCTGTCGAGATTCTAAACAGGAAAATAAATCTCACTGATTGTTTTCTTGCAGTCATTTGGTGAATTGGTACATAAGCCATTGCTGGTGGATCTAACTGTAGAAGAGGGTCAGAGACTAAAAGTCATTTATGGCTCCTGTGCTGGCTTCCATGCTGTTGATGTGGATTCGGGATCAGTCTACGATATTTATCTACCAACACATGTAAGAGTTCTTCCTGGGGTGGGGGAGTTTCTTTCCTTCTGGTTTTCCCCTCCCTCCTTTTTCTCAGATGAAAAATGTGCCAGGCTGTCCCTGTGCAAAGTGGGAGTGGGTGGAGGTCCTGTGTCCTGTCCTCAGGGTCATTGTATCTCCTTGCCTGGGAGCTGCCTGCTCAGATCTGGGTTTCAGGGGTGATAGGTAGATGGCTGAGTGCATAGCACATAGTCAGCTGCAGGGAAGGTGGCAGTATGAGTTATATGACTGCCTTCTGATAATACTCAGCAGGCTTGGCAAAGGCCATGTGGCTTCATCTCTTGCCGTGGAAATGGGCACTCCTACCGAGAAGTTCATTTTTCCTGTTTTCAGATGTCTGCCTTAAGATGAAAGAATTCATTCCCTAAAGTTTTCTAATTACCTGCTGTTGCTGTGTAGGGTGTCTAAGTTGAAGGGAGAGCTAGCACTTCTGGTGTACATCCTTGATCTGCTATTGGACAAAAATCAGAATTCACCTAGGCCTTTCCCCCACCACGGGCTCTTCAGTATTAAAATAAAAAAAACAACAACAAATTTGTCTTCATTTCTGTCTCTTTAGATCCAGAGCAGTATCCAACCTCACGCAATCATAATTCTCCCAAATACGGATGGAATGGAGCTACTGGTCTGCTATGAGGATGAAGGAGTTTATGTAAACACATATGGAAGGATCACCAAGGATGTGGTTCTGCAATGGGGAGAAATGCCAACGTCAGTTGGTAAGTGCCCAGAGAGTCAAATGTAATATGCTGTGAGAAAGTGAGAGTGCATGTGGGCAGAAAGAAAATGCATCAGGTTTGATCTCAGATTCAGAAGCAGCGATGCTGTGATATTGCTGAAAAACAGCTGTGCAAAGTTCGGAGGAATCGTATGAATCCATTTCATGTTGAGTTTTTTAGAACAAGATCCAAGGAAAAGTGTGGACTTCAGGAATAAAAAACTCCTTTATTATACAACATGATCTTTCCAGTCCATTACAGAATTTTTCCTAGACAGCAACAAAATTAGAAAAGCCATTAACTATAAAGATGTGTAAGGTGACACACAGGATATTATTACAGGTTGATGACAGTCTATCTGATTTGATGGATTTACTCTAATTCATCTGCAGATTGCTTATCTATCTTTGCATGAAAGTGTTGGTATAGCCTGTTGGTATAGGTGCTCTTGCTGCCTATGCTGCCTTATTTCAGTGCTGAGTGTGGCATGGGCTGTGATTACACCTTTGTTTTGTTGTGTGAACACATTGAGTTTGCTTGTTTTGGAATGGATGCATGGACCAGTAGTTACTGCTCAGGTTACTGCTGCTGTGAGAGCAACATGGGAGAAGGAAATTTAAAAAGTTTTATGCGTGGCATGTTCACTCTGCTGCATTTAACTCTTGACTAGATCTGAAAGCAAGCATATTCTATCAACTGGCAAATTGTAGAGCCCTGGGGACTGAAGTGGCTGTGAAGTAAATGGCACAGAGGCAGTTGATACCATCAGAATATCTCATCTGACAATTCTGATAAAATGTTTGGCTCAGTTATCACTAGTGACATATGTAAAAATATTCTGGCACAACGGCACATGTGTTGGTATAGACATGTGTTGTACCGTAGCAGATAATTTGGCTTAATTTCACTGAAAATTAATGTGAAAAAAAGATAACATAAATGGGGAAGTATTATGAAATTAAATCTTTTTAAATTTTCCTTGTTAAGATCTGTTGTGCTTCTTTTTATTTTTTTCTGTTCAGTGTGCATACAAATCAGAGGCAACAGCTTATTCTTCACTAAGTTCCCATATGTTATTTTTGGCAGCATTCTTAAGACTATCCATCAAATTTCTTTCTGAATATACCTTTTCATAATGCTGCTGCCTTTCTCCTTCATTCAGTTTTTAATGCTACCAGGAACAGATTTTTTCCTCATGCCAGTACTAATCTGTTTTCCCCAGTGATACCCTGAGGAATAAATGCTCGTTTTTAATTTATTTGTGTGTGAAGGAAAGCAGAAGGACAAATAATAGTACTTCCACTTGGAGAGCTTAATATGAACCCTTTTTAAAATATGCAGAGTACTTGTCAGGCCAGCTGGCTTTTTTGGGAAGGAAAGCAGATTTTTGAAGCATTATTCCTATTAAAGGCGGCTAGCAGGGTTTTTTTTTTCCTTCTTTTTTCCTAATTTTTCCGTTCTGTCTCTTTTTCTTTTGCCAACAAACTCCTTCAAAGCAAGGAATTGACACTGTAAGACACTGAAATGGTTCTGGGGATGTTCCGGAGCGGATAGGCTTTGTCTGTTTCAACTTTGGGTTCTGTTTTTTCCTTGTCGACACCTAATTAACCTGTCTCGTTGCCAAACTTGGGAGGAAAAATCTTTGTAAAACTCAGTGTTCCTTCCATTAATTGGAAAGCTTCTATTGTGTCATGTGTGCTCAGGCACAAAATACATTACTAACATGGACAGCTCGTGTGGTAATAAAAGGAAAAAAAAGGATATTTTGGGGGCAGTGCTGTGAAAGTGCTGACGGCTGAAATAGCGCTCTGAGCATTTGTGTGTTTTTACGGTGTGCACAGGCAAGTCATTGTTAATTACAGTGTTTAAATATATTCCCCTGCTTTTTTAAAAACTTACTCTGTGTTGCCCTCTACCTGTGCTAACCGGCTGTGTTGTACTGTGTTTTTTTCTCCGCAGCATATATTCGATCCAATCAGATTATGGGCTGGGGAGAAAAAGCGATCGAAATACGCTCGGTAGAAACTGGACACTTGGACGGTGTGTTCATGCACAAAAGGGCACAAAGACTCAAGTTCTTATGTGAACGTAATGACAAGGTATAATCCACCCCCACCCCTGTTTCTTGCCGAGATGATAGACGTGTACTTTAAGCTGGTGCTTGCAGTGAGTTGGCCCCAACCAGCAGCCAAACACTCCTTTCTCACGTGGAATGGGGAGAAAATAAAAGGAGTGTGAAAGGACTTATGGATCAAGATAAAGACAGCTTAATAAGGAAAGCAAAAGCTTGGCTGTGCAAGCCAAGCGTAATAAGGAATTCGTCAGTTTCTTCCCATTACAATGATGTCCTCATTCCTCCTCCTTTCTGCCAACTTTTCTTGCCAAGCATGCTTTCCCATACAGTATGGGATATCTCTTTGGTCATTTGGGACCCACCATCCAGGTGTTACCCTCTCCCAGTCTTTGGGGGTAAGGGGCCTGGTAAGAAAGCCTTGATGCTGTGCGAGCACTGTTTGTCAGCAGCCAAAACACCAGTGTGTTAGCAGTGCTCTTTTAGCCATGAGTGCAAAGCTCAGTACCATATAGGATGCAGTGAACAAAGTCAGCTGCATCTCAGCCAGACCCAGTACTGAGCTTTACAGAACTGTAACAGCACTGTAGATGTCACAGGCAGCAAATACAAAGGAAAATCTCTGCTTCCTTACCTTTTTTCTTTTCTTCACAGGTTTTCTTTGCCTCCGTACGGTCAGGTGGAAGCAGTCAAGTATATTTCATGACCCTTGGCAGGACTTCTCTTCTGAGCTGGTAGAAGCAGTGGGCTTTGGCAAGGAATTGCTGACATCCAGAGTCTGAGATCTTCATAACTCGGAATTATTTTCAACTGGAGTACAGACCTGCACTAATGCAGCACTCTGTGTAAATGTGTGTGCAGGCATCACTGGTGTTAGGTTTCTTTTTGTTTTTCAACTGAGGCTGCAAGGCAGCTGGTGCTGTAAAGATATTGCCATCAGGTGCTACAGTGTCTTTGAGGTTTGGGATCATGCTAGAAAGCTACAGGTCTTTTTTTGCCTTCAGCTCCAGGATTCCTAGGCTTTGAAGGACTCTGTTAGTGTTAAAACAGAGGGGGGGAAAAAAAGGAAAACAAAACAGATTTACCGTGAACATGCTGTTGAGTGGACAGGAGGCAGGCAAGAGAAGGTGAGAAGTGGTGTAGAGAGTCAGAAAGGCTGAAACAGAAGGGCAGATCTAGTCTATCTAGTAATGTTAACAATGTATTTAATTGACATTTCTTTTTTTGTAATGTGACAATATGTGGACGAAGAGGAAGGTGCAGGTTTTAAGAAGTTAATATTTATAAAATGTGAAAGATGCAGTGACTAGGATGGAGAACTTCTTGGGGACAGGGAGGGTGGGATGGGGTCAGGGTGGAATTCTTGTTTTTTTTTTTTTTGTTTCTGCAGTTTCCTTTTGGCCTGGCCAATAACTTTAGTCATTTTCTGTGTACCAGATATTGCCTGAAACATGTGCAGATGGTTAAAAAAGGAAAAAAGGAAAAAAAAAAAAGGAAAAAAAAACAGAAAAAAAAAGAGAAAAAAAAGTTCATTTTCTATAATGATTCTGTGTTAGGCCAGAACTTGGTTATGTCACAGTATTAGCACTGCCTCAGTTAAAGGTTTAATTTTTGTTTAAACCTAGAAGTGCAACAACAGTTTTACCACAGTCTGCACACGCAGAACTAAAAAAAAACAAAAAAAAAAAAAAAAAGAGGAAAAAAAAAGAAATAAAATCCAAACTACATATGTTTATTTTTTGTGCCTACCTCATTGTTTTTAATGCGTAAAAGAAAAGAGGTGGTTTAGTTTATACATTTTTAGATGAAAACCATTAATGTCTAATTTAATCTTAATACCAAAACTACCAGATTGAGAGGTTTCTGACTGTTATTGTGTAGCAAGTTTCAGCAGGAGGAGAGAGTGGGCCGTTGGGGCAATAGTGGTAGCGTTATGGCAGTGAGACACTGATTATTGTAATTTGCTGACTAAATTTGGAAAGCAGGCGTTTTTCTAAACCAGTTTCATCCTTAATAGAAGTCTGAATTTAGCCTAAAACCGGAGGTTTCACTCTTCTAACATGTGGGCTTAGCAACAGGCAGGTAAATAACTAGGCTAGTTCTTCTATAAACTGTTAAATGTTGTAGGAAACATTTTGGGGCGGTGATGTTTTTCTTTTTTAAGAATGCAATGCACTAAAACTCTTTTAAGAATGTAGTTAATACTGCTTATTCATAAAAACAACGTATACTTGTGTTTAGATGTAAGATCCCAGCTCTGGCTTTTTTCTTTCTTTTTTTTTTTTTTTTTTTTTTTTTAAGTCAGTTTTATTTTATTAATAAGTTCTGACATTTGTAATAAATGTCTTGAGAGTAATAATTTGTTTAATGGCTACATGTTCATTACTTGAGAAAACCTTGAGTGTATAATAATCTGTTGGTGATGTAATAATGCACAGTGTCATGATTCAGCCATTTTTATTTTCGTTTTGTTTTTTAATTATTATTATTATTATTATTATTATTCCTTTGGTGGGGTACTTTGTCGACAGCTGCCTTAAGCTGTTCATTCAGTGAACAGGCTCTCAGTGTTCCGTGGGCTTTGTCTTCTGCTACGTTGAACTTTCTCTCCTGGCATGGCAGGTAGGGCTTTTCCAGCATGAGCTGTGCGGAGCTGAGACTCAGCCAACTTTCTTTTGGTATCAATCCGACTGCTGTAAATCCTTCAAACCCAAGCAGCGTTTCTGCTGAAGGCTCCTTCGAACGTCACAGACAGTGTAAGAGTGAGTGGTAGATGCGTACCACGAGTGCATGTACACACACCCACACACCCCACACACCAAAAGAGTTAAAACTCAAGAAAGCCTTACGTGTGCTGGCAGAGGAGTACGTAGAAATATTTTTTTTAACCGTGTGACTTTTGGATAGCGTTGAAGGTGAAGGATGTGTTCTTTCCATGCCTGGCGCGGTCAGCCAGAGGAACGATGAACCTTTTGTACTCTCATGAACTAAAGGGGACTCGAGAAGCAACGCGGGTGTAATCACACATCGGCCCTGTAGCGTAGCTTACCCCAGCTGATTTGACCCAATGTCAGTCTGCGTGATTTAACTCTTCCAGCGCTCTGTGCTCCAAAATCAATGTAGTCCTTGAAAGCTGATGCTGTTCTCCCAGAGGAAGATGCTCCTGTGCTGTTAGGGATTCCCGGGTCACGGATGCACGCTGTTGGCGTTGGGAGGCTCCCGGTGGGAAGCTCCCTCTGTCTTTGTCTCCATAGAAGTGCCAGGACAGCAACATGGCAAGGTAAACCCAGTATTACAAAACCACTACGTATACAGACATCGAACTCTAAACAGTGCTTTTGTAAGCAAAGAAGAAAAGAAAAGCTCCTAGGTTTAGTTTTAAGCTTTAATAAGTAATAATTTTCTGTATCTTTAAGTCAAAGTAACCCTAACTTGTATGACTGCAGTGTTTTTATTTTTTATCTTATGCACATGTTATGTTGGAGAAAATGTTTACAAAAATGGTTTTGTTACACTAATGTGCATCACATATTTATGGTTTATTTGAAAGTGATTTTTGTGGGTTTTTTAGTTTTTCATAGTAGTAGTAGTACACTTTTTGTGATTTATAACCCCAGGTTCTGCTGATTATAAAGATGCTAAACAATACTACAAAATGACAAACTGCATTAAAATTACTAATCGTAGAGCTGCAAAGCAGACTGGTGACAAGTAAAACACTCAGCCTTTTTTTTGCAGTGCTATCTAACTTGTCTTCTGTGTATTATGGAAATTACTGTTTTTTCCCCGTTTTTCCTTAAATAAAGTCAAATTGACACCTGTCGTATGTGGAAAGTATTTTGAATATCTGCTGGCTGCAGAAATCAAGCTGCATGTTGCCCAGTTGCTTGCATAAGAACAAAAGCCTTATTGTCAAATCTCTTAATTTTATGGAGACTTTGACAACAAACTTGGGCTTTTGAGGGCTTTTTTAATTCTTTTTTTCTTTTTCTTTTTCTTTTTCTTTTTTCTTTTTTTTTGTTTTTTTTTTTGCAGAAAGCCCTATCTCGTGGTGCAATTGCTCTTTTGAGAATTAGTTTTCCTTTAAGAAAAAAAAGAAAAAAGAAAAAAGAAGCTTAGAAGCACTGGTATGTGGCCAGCGGCTTGGGAAGAGATGTTGCCCGAAGGACAACCTGGAAGTGCTGTGTACATGCCCTCCCACCTCCCTCCAGCCCTCAGCATTGGTGGCTGGGAATGGGATACTGCTAAGGGAGTGGCATGAGCTGGAGACCTGGGCCAGATTCCCCATGGTCTAAAAGCACAGATCCAAGAAATTGGCCAGGCTTTCTGAGCACCGAGCCCTGAGTACTGGGCAGGTTTGATGCAAGGCTGCTGTGTGTGCCAGCAGAGTTCCCGTTAACCTTTGTGCATATTTTCCACCATGGACCATGTCTGTTTTTCTCAGTGGAGATAAGCAGCAGATGTTTCCTTTCTGCATAGGCTGCTCTCTGCTGGAGGAGGGGGCAACTTGCATTCCCGGCCTCCAGTCTTCCCACCCGCTTTCATCTTTTGAAGGCAAGGGGATGTTGTGAGCTGAAACACATTCCAGGGTTTTCTTTGCTTCCTGCAGACAAAGGTATCTGAAACCCTCGAGCTTTCCGCTTCTGTGCATATCAGATACCAAGAGAGGCTGAACTGAGAGAGCCATGGGGGCCAGCAAGCTGCTCTTGCAGCTGCCAGCTTTCCTTCATTGTCTTTCACCAGCTGAATACTTCACTGAGTTAGAATGCTTTTTGGATAGTCAAGCACAAAAGCGTCTGGATCCAGCAGCCCTAGGGGTTTGGGGTGACACAGGCCATACCATGCAACACTTCCGTGCTCCTGTGAAAGAGTGTGCAACAGGAAGATGGAGATTAAAGATGAGGGCGTTTGAGCAGCTGATCTCTGTGGGGCTTGGGTAGGTGGCACTGATGAGACAGGCCCAAGTGAGGAACACAGAACATAAAGGAACAAAATGGTCAAAGGCATCAGCTTTGCTGAAAGTAGAGTGAACGCACCCAGATGGTGGCCCATTTCTCACCCGAGCTCAGCATGGAGAGTAGCACCTGGTGCAAGGAGCTGGAGGTTTGTGCCTCTTTTACACAAGCTAAAGGCTCAGAAAATGCCTTCCATGATTAAAAAACAATTATTTTGATGCTTAAGATGGCTATTTTGATGTATAGGGATCACCCAGCTATAGGCATTAACTCCACTGCAGCCTTAAGCATCTGTTAACTTCAAACATAAACACAGCCATAGCCCCCATTCTCCAGGCTTTTAGTTGTATTCTAACCTCTGTGGAATGCTTTAGTCCCAAACCTGAAGGCAGACTTGTGGTGATGGGGCCTACGCTAATGCAGAGTTCACATGGAGGAGCTCAGCTGGGGGAGCTGCAGCCGTGTGTGTGCAGAAGCTCTGTCTGAAGATCTGTCTCACTGGACTTCATGAAATCCCAGACCTCCCCAGATCAAATCACAAGAACTTCTGGAAAATCCAAGTGGAAATTTTCTCCATGTTTTGGTAATGAAATTAACTGCAAGACAGGAAGAGAGGATGAACTGGCAAAGAACATTAAAATGCAAAGTATGTAATTACAGACTCGCAGTTGTAATGACTCCAATGGTTATCAGAGAAAAGTATAAAAGGAGAATAAATTATTTCAGGGCATAAAGAATCAGTTATGGGTAATTAAGCTGCAATTATCATTACTATGCTGCTATGATAGGTTTTTCTTAAGGCTGTTTTTTCTAAAATGGAGTAATGTGGGTTAGGCGTGCGTTCATTTATTGTCTGCCATTCCAATAAAAGCGTTTTCTAGATTTTTTTCAAAATGTACCAGTGGAGGAATCTCAGTTTTCTGCTAATGAAAGCACTGGGTTCCCTTTATGAAGTGATTTATTTCGCATCACACAGCGTTCAGTGGCATCATTCAAACTAAGGCTCAGGGAAGTGCATTAACTCATGCGTACCATCAAGCACGTAGGCCAGCAGCCAGCTTCAGTTGGGTTCTTCGCATGCTTAACACTGAGTGATTTGGTGAATTGGCAGTTCCAGTCTCTAACAGAGCAAGGACAACAGGGTTGAGAGGGGCTAACAGCATTCTTGGTTCAATCCGCAGATGGCTGAAGCTGGAAATCTGACTGGGAAAAGTTTCAGTTCACAGCATTGTGACAAACGTTGATGGTCATTAGCCTTAAAAGGCCCCTTGTGAAACATGGCAAGTAACAGCTGGCTCACGAGCAGCTGCCCTGGAGGCTGTGAGGAGGGCTAGGTGTGCTGCTGATGGAGC